TTCTAGAAATTTTCTGTGTACGTAAAGCTTATTTTGTAGACGTCCTCTTAGAACTAGTTCTATAGACTTAGAATTAGTAGTTGGTAGATTAATCAAAAAAGGTAACACCCAAAGGAAGGAAGTTATCAAAGATTAAAGGGATTACTGGACACAAGTGCTAACTTGACACACCTAAGATGGGAAAATTTGAGCATCAAAATGAATAACTTCCTGATTGAAACACTACAAATACATAAAAATTCTTGACTTCATAATAATTCCTTAAAAATGAAATACACTAGTCATGATTAAGGTTAGGGCATCAGGTCACTATTGTAAAACTTGATGAGGGGAAAGACATCAAGCATTTATCCTCTTTTTTTTTCTTTAAAGATTTTATTTATTCATTTGACACAGAGAGAGACAGCGAGAACAGGAACACAAGCAGGGGCGAGTGGGAGAGGGAGAAGCAGGCTTCCCGCTGAGCAGGGAGCCGGATGCGGGGGGCTCGATGGGGGGCTGGATCCCAGGACCCTGGGACGATGACCTGAGCCGAAGGCAGACGCTTAACGACTGAGCCACCCAGGCGCCCCGCATTTATCATTTCTTGCATGAACTGCATTTCAGTGTAGCCAACATGCTAATGAGAATTCTAGCTAATAAATGAATTATATAGAACAATCACCATTTTGCTACTCCTAATGAAATAATACAAAGTACAACATTTAATAGATGATAAAATTAAGGTGAAATGTTGATGGGAAACTTTTAAAAAATTTTTGTAATTTTTTTATGGGGAACTTATTATAGGTGGATTAGACTGGCACCACCTGAACCACCTCACTGATCGATCTTATGATTGAGTCTGGGACAACCAGACATTGTGTATTTCATGAGGTGATGCAACAGAAAGTACACACCACCCGACCTGTGAAGGATTCTTGCCTAAAAATTGAACCCGATATAGAGAAGCAATCAGCTAAATTCAGAATGTGCGATATTCTATAAGATAAATGCTCCAGTCTCTTTATCAATGGACTTTAAAGAGGAGGGAGAGAGGAAAGTACTACAAAATCAGAGACTTAAAGAGACCTATAACCAAAGGCAGTGTGTATACCTTGTCTGGATCCTGATTTGAAGAAAGCAACCATAAAAAAGACATTTTGAGGGGTGCCGGGTGGCTTAGTTGGTTGAGTGTCTGACTCTTGATTTAGGCTCAGGTCATGATCTCAGGGTCGTGGGATTGAGCCCCCCATCAGGCTCCATGCCCAGTGTGGAGTCTGCTTGAGATTCTCTCTCTCCCTCTGCCCCTCCCCCACGAGTTCACTCTCACACACGCTCGCTCGCTCTCTCTCAAAAAAAAAAAAATTTTTTTTTTTTGATGGGGCGCCTGGATGGCTCAGTCATTAAGCGTCTGCCTTTGGCTCAGGTCATGATCCCAGGGTCCCGAGATCAAGCCCCGCATCAGGCTCCCTGCTCTGCAGGAAGCCTGCCTCTCCCTTTCCCTCTCCCCCTGCTTGTGTTCCCTCTCTCGCTGTCTCTCTTTCTGTCAAATAAATAAAAATTTTAAAATCCTAAAAAAAAATTTTTGAGACAAAATTTTAATATGGACTGAGCCATTAGATGATATTAAGGAAGCGCTATAATTTTGCTAAGAATGCTAATGGAATGTGGCTGTGTTTAAAGGAATAAAAGAGTAAGTCATCATTGATGCATATTGCAATGCTTATAGGTGAAATTTTTAAAAACTTTAAAAAAGATATAAACATGGCAAAATATAACTGATAAAATATAACTGATAAACCTGTGATGGGCATAGAGGGGTTCATTATCAACAATAGCCTCTATCTACTTCTCTATTTATTTGAAAATTGTCTATTGCATGGAGCACTTGGTGTTATAGGAAAACAATGAATCATGGAACACTTCATCAAAAATTAATGATGTACTGTATGGTGACTAATAACATACTGAAATAAAATAAAGTTTTTAAAAAGATTAAAGGAAATGGCTGAAACAAAAAAAATTGTCAAAATAAAAATTAATAAGGGAAAATTATCAGGTTCTTAGAGTACTTTTCAAATGCATAACAAATCTTGTTCCATGTAAACCTAAAAAAAAAAACAAAAACAGCAGTTAAAGCAGAGGATTACACTGGCTGATCCTTTGACTTGAGTCAAGATCTTTTAAAATACAAATCAACTGATTGGAGTCTCTCACTGTTTCTCCTACATAAACCACAGACATAATAATGCATCACCTACTATTTCTACTTTTTTAAAGTGGCCCAAGAACTTACAGAAACAAGTGAAGGAATCAACTCAAAGAGTCCTAGTTTTGTTTTTGTTTTTTCTGCAATCCTCCCCTATCATTTACAATTATCTTGGACACAACTATCTTGTCAGTGACTTTTTTTTTTTTTTAGCTCTTTATCTTTAAAGTTTCCTCTGACTCTCATAATTTTTCATACTATTTCATTGGTTTATGTCATATTTAAATTCTATAATTACAACAATGACTGCCACTAGCATAAACAGGTTTGGGAACAAACAGCTAACAGGAAGTGAACACGTAACTTGACTGGTGGGAGCAGTACTTCTCCAGCATACCAGAGGGGAGCCCAGATGTAAGCCTCCAGCTGTCAGTATGCTTTAACTTGGTCAGCCAATCCAATTGGACAAAGGGTACAAGAATGGGTAAAAACAGCCTCTATTATAGGCAAAAAAAATCTTTAAAAAAAAAAGATTTTAAAGAGAGAGAGCACCTGTGCATGAGCAGGGGGAGGGGCAGAGGAAGAAGGAGAGAATCTCAAGCCGACTCCCCCACTGAACGCAGAGCCTAACTTGGGGCTCAATCCCATGACCCTGAGATCATGCCTGGAGCCAAAATCAAGAGTTGGACACTTAACTGAGCCACCCAGGCGCCCCAAAGATCCAGCTTCTAAAAATTACTCGGATGTGGGATTACACACACATCCCGGCCCACCCTAATATTGTGGGTCCTGGGGCAAGAGTATAAATGCAGTCTAACTCTGACATATTTTTAAGCGTCTAAGTAAAGAACCATCAAATAAATATGTCCTTCTACCTTGGCAAATATTCCTTCTCAAAGAACAGAAATCTAGGATCGAATTTGGAATTCTTATATACTATATGAAATGCAGCACAGGAACTAGGTCTGCTTGCTCTTCCCACAAGGCCCTGAGTCAGTCTTTTACTAGTTTTAGTTTACCACGAGAGTCCTGGTATGCACGCATGCAGACACCCCAGTCTGCACATCCAAGCTCCATCCACACTATTCACGAACTGCCATTCCTTAAGTGTAAAGTATACATCTGTAGCACAGTCTGTCCTCAGGATGATCTGAGAGGCCTGCATCTGTTCTGGGATCAAGCTTTGGGCTGGTCAGGCAGGGAATTCTGGGGCTCTGGCTATCTGGTGCATAGTGCGTAGAGGAACATGAACTTCCAAGTGAGTACAATCCCTTGGTTCCTTCAATTTTTCATTCCGTGAAGAGAGGCACAGCCAGTGTGAGGATCAGGGCAGGGACCCCTCTTGCCCAAGTCTAAGTACACACACACACCCATAGTGTCATACTATATATACTGTTAGACTTGCTTTTTCCATTTCGTATCATGAATACCTTTCCATTAGTAGCATATTCTGTAAGAGGTGTGTAGGGTTACTTGGCAGCATCACATTCTAACCACTCTGGTGACCTTGTGCAAAAAGGGCATAAGCATACTACTAGTATCATGCGGTGTAAATGTAAAATAGGGTTTAGTAAGGGAAACACTTGGGACAAAAGTAGAGTGCATCCAATTTCCTGAGTTTTTATCCCACAGAGATTCAGACAGGCACAGAAGTACTGGTATTTTTTTTTTTTTTTAAGATTTATTTGAAAGAGAGGCTGCGTGCGCGTGCGAGAGAGAACACAAGCAGGGGGAGTGACAGGCAGAGGGAGAAGCAGGCTCCCCACTGAGCAGGGAGCTGGATGTGGGGTTCGATCCCAGGACCCCTGGATCATGACCTGAGCCGAAGGCACTTAACTTACTGAGGCACCCAAACAGGACTGGTATTCATGGAAAGGACTCTGAGGAAACCAACTCCTGTAATAGTTTACATATTCATAACATTTACTGGGGAAAGGGCATGCAGAATATATCTAGACAAGTATATAACAATGTAGCTTGTTAGTGCAGCAATTTACAAAAGGGGAGCCTTTGGAATTCTGGTAGCCTATTCTTTTCTTAAATTAACAATTAGGTTGCTTGTATATTGCTCTTGTAATGCTGCAATGAGTACTGACTTATTTGTAAGAGAAATACCTAGAAATGGAATTAACTTTTCAAAGGTATGTGTATTTAATATTGCAAAACTGTTCTCCACTACATCTTCTATATGAGGGTACTAGTTTCTCAGTATCTTTGTCACGCCCCTCTCCCTATGACTCAAGACTATCCAGTCTCCTCCCTTCATTCTTCTTTTGGCGAAAATGATCTTAGTTACAGGAGCTCCAGTCTCATGTAGTCATTGATTGGTTTTCTTTTTTCTCCTAAACCGATTTCAAGTTAGGAAACACATTTTAAAAAGCCTTAGATTCTGGTTCTCTTTTAGCTATAATCTGCCAAAATGTAACCCAGGATGGGACAAGCTCCAAAGACAAAACTAAATTCTTGATTTATATTATAGTTATAGCATGTTTCATCTTCCATTTATAGCTGCACTGTACAAAACAGTAGCTATTAGTAAGATGTGGCTATTTACATTAAAATTAATTAGGATAAAAGATTCAGTTTCTTAGCTGAACTTGTTATATTTACAGTGCTCAAGAGCTGCCTGAGGCTAGTGGCTATCGTGTTGGACAGCACGAATACAGAACGTTCCATCACTGCATAAAATTCTGTTGAACAGCACTGCTCTAAAATATAAGCTCTTGGGGCTTTTTATCTTCTCATCCCCAAAAGCACATCATAGATATTTAATGAAAGTTGATAGAAATGCAAGCACTGAAGCAAAAGAAAGCAGAAAAAAAGTTTAATTTTTAGATGAGATATTCCAGGTGCTTTTGTAAGAACTTAACTCGGTCATTCTATACAGAACATACAATCATTTCAACATACAAGTTACTCCACTTTGAATACTCTATGTTAAAGTTAAAAAGTTTCTAGTTTGAAGTTTAAAAGGCTTTGTCTTATTTCCAATGATAATGCAATACACTTATTAAAACACTAGTTTGCAGAATTGAGTACATTTTAAATAGTTCATTAGAAATGTTCTTCATCTGTAACTTAAAAGTTAAACCTGAGGAATTAAGAATTTTTATTATCAGAACTGCATAGCAAAACCATGTCCAGATAACAGACATACCAAATACTCAATAGATCAAGATAACTTGTAAACCATTTAATAAATCCAGTTTAAAGCAAAACATGTTAGGAGAGATACTAAATGATACCCAGGTTTAGCAAAGTTTTGAAATGCTTCATATTTTTTTAATGCAACAAAAGTGTCAAATGTTAAGTGGACACATACATCTAATATCATTTATCCCATGACAACAAACTGCTGAATATTTGGTTGTTTGGAAATAATTATTTGGGCTAAATTCACTCTGCATGTGGCACTGAGCAGTCATAAATTGAAAGTGCAAATGCCTGAATGGAAACACAGCTTAAATCATTTACTTATGCTACTATTCTACACTGACACACTAATGCTGCGAAAGATGTTTACAACTGTACAAAGTCTTGATATAGAGCAATAGGCTTGATGAGAAAATACAAGAAGGCCACAGGTCATACACAAATTAAAGAATGTTAAAGCGCATTTTGTTCATGTAGGTTTTTTTTTTTTTGAAGTCCTCGTGATACCACTTTAAGCACATGCTTTATTAAAAGAAAGAGCTCTAGAAGTATCCCAACACTTAAATCCATTATTAACTGAAAATAATACCTTACATTTACATAGCATTTTACTGTGTTGAAACAATTTCACATACTCCATTTCATTTCACAAATTCTCACAAATGTGAGATAAGCTGAACAAGTTACAATTATTTTATGTAAGGCAGTGGAGGCCCAAAGATGAGAAATAGTTTATGGAGAGGTCATATAGATCTAGTTAGTCTACGTATGGTAGAGCTAAGGTGATTAATTTTAAATTTAATTAATTACTTCAAAAGAAATGAAACCAAAATACTTTTTATATTATATCCAAAAATCTTAAAGACTATTGGTTTTTAATGTAAATTGCTCCAAAACTTTATTATATATCTTACAGTATGAATTAGTTATAAATTTGATTTTAAAGAGTCTCCCTTAAATGGTAAATTAGACTCTGTGCTTTGGTACCTTAGAGATATTGAAAATGTTAAAAAACATATACATGGATTCTTACTGCCCTTAGGCCCTCCAAAAATTTCCAATACTAATAAAAAGGCCTTTTAACCACTCACTTACAATATGACTTATTTTAAAACTGTTCCAAACTTATGAAGCTCCAAGCCAAGGCAAACACATTCACCCATCTTCTGCCCACATACTGTGAAATCCTCCACATGCCCATTCCCCAGGACCAACTTACAGTGAATGGGTATCATTAAGAAAATATATCAGGTTAAACTAACATAGCTCAAATGATTATGAATCAAAAGTCAGTACCTTATATTGACCCAGAAATAACAAATACTGTTTTAATTTAGTAATTGGGTAGTCTGAGGAGAAAAGTACCTTGGCAATCTCTATTATTTATTTATAAGCCAGTACTAACCTTTATATGGCAAGACCAACAATATCTTTTCAATAAAAACAACATATACCAAATGCAATCCATTTAAACTCCAAATTACTCAAAAAGCTTTATGTATTTACATTAATCAAATATTCCAGGTAACAAAGCATATCAGGGTCACAAATATTTGCAAAATGTGAATACTGTAAGATACACACAAAATTAAAACTATACTGAACATGAGGTAATCGTTCTGTAATGATAAAGGAAACATTCATGATATATTATAATGTTCCAGTACCAGCATTATGAAATGTACATTTTGGTTAAAAATAACAAAAAACTTTATGGTTATTTGGGTGTTGAGTAAATGTATGCTGACTATACACTTCCCTAAAAGAATATATCCAGTTTAAAATAAAATCAAGGAAGTTTTCTAGACCCATTTTATGTGACTATATAAAAGTGAACCATATTATAAGCAGTTAATTTGAATTTTTTATAAACTATAAAATTATTTTTTAGAATTTCTGACTTATTAACAAAACATTGTTTTTAACATACAAACTTTGTCACACTCCTCAAAAGTAGCAAAACTATATGCACAGTAAATCAAACTTCACTAATTATGGAAATCTAAATACAAAGCATGGCCGCCGTATCACACTTAAATATCTGTTGTATGAATGAGCCAATGAATGGACACTGATCTAATAAATACGGGTTTTTTAAAAAAAGAATTGTGATTAAAAAAATTTTAAATAAAAAGGATTATGATGATTTGAAAATACAGTCCTTAGTATTTTAGCCTGGAATCCACAATATTTTATAGTAAGAAGTCTACAGTGTCCTCTTCCAGAATTAATACTCTTTGAAATAATCATTTCCTGTGTATATCCTTTTCCAATTTTTTCCATGTTTTCAAATGAAACAAAAGTAACTATAATTTTAGAAGTATAGGTAAATCATGAAATGGAGTATGTTAGCCTTATTAAATTCTCATTACAAATTATTTACTTTTATTATTTGTACCACCAAAGATCAGTCACAAAAAATTCAAATTATACATGATACTGTTCATACTTTAATAAATGAGCAAATAAAACCAAGCCAGTATGTTTCTTTAAATGATAACATAGGAAAAATTACTGTTTGCAGAACAAAGTAGGCCACATCTAGCTATACAGTGGCAGTTAATGGTTTGTTGACATGGTACAGATGCCATCAATAAAACCCATGTACAGACAGGCATACCTCTAATACTTTCCTTTTGTTTACTACACCTGGAACCTTCAAAGAATCACTGTATATTAAATTTCTATGTGCACTCAGTTATTAAATGCTTGATATATACATATTTACCAAAAGTTAAAGACATATGTGACACGGTAAGCCCAAATAGTCAAGATGAATTCTAAAAAAATTCTTTTCTAAAGTGCTTAAGGCAATTCCTTCATTTCTTTATCCAGTTTACTGAAACCGGTTTGGGATTCAACTGCTAAAAGGGAAATGCAATACTAAATGCATGTTTTTATAAGACAATTTTTTTATACCTGTGATACATCCATTACCATCAACCTCTCATGCATTTCTTTTACAGAAAGCAATCATGTTTGACCTGCCAAAACAAACAGTAAATAAGCTAATAAAAAATGTCTGGAAGAGTATACTATCTTCCCATAATGCATTAAATTGAGCAAAAAGGCTCAATATTTTTTAATTCAAATGACAATGAGAATGTTATATATTATCGTCAAGTTAACAGTTACCTTAATGTGAGACTATTTAAATAGGCACTATCGATTATTTTCTAGTTCGAAAATTAGGGTGGCAAACTCTTCCAGTTTAACTTAACATACAAACTTAAAACCCTACACGTTTTGCTCTTTATATTTAGAGACCTTTAAGAAGAAGTACAGTAAGAGGAAAACCTCAGATTCTTATTTTGAGGTAATAATTGTTATTACTTCAAATAAATTTTCCAAATGAGTATTAGAAAGTTTTATATGAAGGGCTTCACAGGATGCCATGAGCACAGGAAAGACTCAGGCGCACTCCTCCAGCCTGACTGATATCCCCGCTCCTCCATACCCCTGCGGCAGAAGGCTCTCAGCAGTGTAACAGAATGGTCTCTGGCTTAAGTATCAGTTGATGCCGCCTGGGGCATGGAGCAGGAGCACGCTCAGAGGAAGAAGGCACTGAATTAAAGAGAAGACACAATTACGTAAGATCGAATAGTAAAAAATTTTATACAAGAATTTCTGGCAAGAATTCTTCTGTGTCATTTTTGCTAAAACACACATATGTAACTGTTCACATTAAAGCAGCTCCACCACTAAATTACTGCTTTCAGATTTGACTCCATGAAAGAGAACTGTAACTTTCTGTTTTCTTAGGTCCTGGAATAATCCCACTGTAGGGAACAGAACACCCAAAATTTTTTTTCAAAATCTCTAGGAAGATCAAAAACCAAAATTATACTTGTTTGGAGAATCAAAAGGATATCTATTGACATATTTCATTCTCTCAACTGCCTTATAGTCGTTAAAACTACCAATATGTCATGAGACAACGGTGCAGATATAAATGTCTTCTGGGAAAATAATACCCAGTTCAAATAAAATTTCTCATTTAGGTTTGCTTTACCACTGAACAAAACATCCTATCAGTAAGCAGTAAACTTTAAGAGAGAATGAGCTATACCTATTCCACAGGCCTTTCTGTAAAAGGTAACTCAGCTATAAGCAGCAATAGTCACTTCTTGGGAGAAGGCTGTCATAACAATACACTTATAATGAGAATGAAAGAAAGTCAACATGAGAAAGAAAAATCCAGAGACCACTTAATGCTCAAGGGATCCTTAAATACTGTAATCACAACTTTCAGTTTGGCTCAAAGAACTTGTATTACAAATTTTAACCAATTTTTTAAAAAATAGGTATGTTCTACTCAATAACCATGGATTTTACTCTTTGTTTAACACATTTTCCCTAAGTTTGGGAAAGATTCTTCTATGATGATTTTTGGAAGAATTATACCCCTTTAGAAAATAAATGAATGTTGCAGAAGGATTAAAAGAAAAATAACCTCTGAATAGTTATGTTTGAAAAATTCATGTGGCAAATAAAGCAGAGATATGTAGACATTTTTCAAAACACTTGTTTAAACCATTCCAAATCTTATTAAAAAGCAGACATAAATGACTTCAGTATAGTTTCAGGCACCTCCCTTTATAAACTATCCTTCTGAGATAAAACTTAAATGGTGTAAGTTTTTCTACCTTATATATAACTTCAATAACATTTCATTCCTACTTGAAGTATTAAAAATCAGTATAATTATCAATTATTACCAAATTCAAGTGGGAATTTTACCAAGATAACTATTAAAGGTAGAATTAAACTAGACAACAAAATCAGAAAAGAAAGTTTTTAAAAATCTTATCCATCATCCAAAATGATGGAATGAAAAGAAGTCTAATTAAACAAGGCAACATAGAAAGCATATCCCTTTGCCACTGTTAGTGCAGCAGGTAAAAAACTAAAGTATCGGTGATTTTAAGCTATTATGTCTAGAAACTCTTCTATCCACTCTATTTTGAGTTTTAACCACAAGAGAAATACCATGGTATTTGGGAAAGAGAAAATGATACACAATCTAGTCAGTAAACAAAAGAGGATAATTTAGCAAAACTCAACCTACTTACAAAAGGAGAAAAATAAACCATTGCAAGAAAACCTTTTTAGCATCCCCAACCAATTATTTCAATTTTTAGAAAACCTTAGAAGACTGTATTTTTCTTAAAGCTTCAGTATAAGAATGTAGTAATAGGTAGTGATGAGATAAAGAAAAAGTATAGAGAAAAGACGACAAGCTTTAAATGCTTTCCTCTCAGGTCCTAGGGCTACCATATGTAACTAAACATATTGGAAGAGCCAAAGTAATCCAAGAAACACAAAAATGAGTTTCTATATAACTATTTAAACACTGCCTTTCTTCCCATTTACTCTTCAAAACATCAGTTTCTTGCTTTCGTATCTGCTTGCTTGATGATACTGCACAGTAGGTTCCCGTGAGTACTTTGCATTAGATGCTTAATGCTAACACATTCCAGGCCTTAAAGCAGAGCATAGCAAACCTGATTTCCACCACTCGTAAATTTCTGTGATTAGTAACTGCACAGAAAAGGTCACCCAATCAGAAGGGGGGTAAACATGTTCTGAGTAAGCATTACTGAGTAACATTGTTTAGGCTGCTAGCTGAACCAGTCATTCCATTTTCACTTTTCTGAAGTGTTCTCACAGCACTTGGAACCTGCATCCCAGTATTCAAAGAAAGTCCACCACACCAAACCTGAGAAAAGACAAAACAAAGCTTCAGTCAGCTTTCAAATCAAATTAGAATTTAGGTGATCCTTAAAGTTCCATTTGAAAGGCAAAATGCCACATATGTGAACGTCAACAAGTTCCAAACTGATAACCTTCATATTTGAACTAAGGGGAAGTGGAAAGGCTAACTCAAGAGTCTTTTAGAACCACCGAGGCCACAGGAAGTCTTTGTGGTAGCTAGCAGAACCCACTGGAGCTGCATATAATAGAAGGAACTAAGGGCTGCAGAAATTTAGAGATTAAATTTTTTTTTTAAAGATTGTATTATTTATTTTAACAGAGAGAGACACAGCAAGAGAGGGAACACAAGGAGAGGGAGTGGGGGAGGGAGAAGCAGGCTTCCCGCGGAGCAGGGTGCCCGATGCAGGGCTCGATCCTAGGACCCAGGGATCATGATCTGAGACGAAAGCAGACACTTAACGACTGAGCCACCCAGGCGCCCCTGGAGATTAAATTTTTAGGATTAATAGGCAAAAGACAATGGCTACTATTACTGATGCTAAACACCACAACTGGTGAGCAGGGAGCCTGCTTCTCCCTCTCCTGCTCTCCCTTGCTGTGTTCCCTCTCACTGTCTCTCTCTCTCTGTCAAATAAATAAAATCTTTAAAAAAAAGAAAATAAACTTTACAACCAAGAGAAGTGCCCAAAGAGCCAATTTCCTCATCCCAATTTTCTTTAGATTGTGATAATGGAGTGTGGCCTGAAACTATAGGAATCTAACACTCCTGTGTTAACAGAGTAAAATCCATTATCTTCTTCCCTAACTTGTTAATAATAAGAACCTTTTGTAATTCTTTAAAGACTTCTAAGAAAAATGTAAATAGCAATATCCAGATAAACCATATTGCCATAGTCTATTAATTATCATAAATGTGAGTAAGTTTATGAAAGATGAAACTGCTTTGCCTGTAAACAGAGTAGATACCATTCAATAAGATGAATGACAACTGATTTGGAACAGGCTCAAATGAATTAAAATATGAAAGAATGGATCACTTAAATTATCACCAATGCCTGGTTTGTAGCTGACATAGCTTGAGACAAGGGACCTCCTAGAAACTGTTGAAGTATTCCTATTCCCACCTTCAATTATATCCTAAAGTGTTTAGTATTTACTAAGTGATTACAGAAATGTACCAAAGAATTTATTGACCTGTGAAATTTATAGCTGTATGGTTAACATTTCAAATTTTTAAAACTAGCAGGTTCAGTAATGATAACTCCCAAAACACAAAAGCAGCTCTGTGATTATAAAACCACTACATTACTTTTTTGGAAATTATTTAAGTGATTTACAAACCTATTTACTCTAAACATCTAGCACAAAGGTGCAAGGGCAAATCAATGAAGAAAGGTTAGTCTTTTTCAGTAAGTGGCACTAGAATTCTTGGAATCCATATGCAAAAAATTAGATCTCAAACCATACCTGGTACCATATGCAAAAAACAACTCAAAGTGGGTCACAGACCTAAATGTAAAACCTAAAACCATAAAACTTTAGGAAGAATGCAAAAGAAAATATCTTTGTGAACCTGAGTTAGGCAAAGCATGATCCATAAAAGAAAAAAAAATGGATAAACAGGATTTCATTAAAATGAAAACCTTCTCTTCAAAATGTTCAGAAAATGAGAAAAGCCACAAACTGGGAGAAAATATTTGCAAAACTGTTATTTGATAAGGGACCCATATCCATCATACTTAAAGAAATCTTAAAACTCATTAATGAGAAAATAAGTAACCCAATAAAAAATGAACAAATAGTAGATACCTCACCAAAGAAATTATACACATGGCAAATAAGCACATGAAAAAATGCTCAACATCATTTGTCCTTAGGAAAATACAAGTTAAAACCACAACAAAATACCATTACATGCCTATTAAAATTGCTGAACAACAAAAAATCTGACAATATCAAGTAACAGCAAGGATGTAGTAAACTTTCATATATTGCTAGTAGGAATGCAAAAGTCATACAGCCACTTTGGAAAACATTTTGGTAGTTTCTTTTAAAGTTAAACATGCACTTTCAAATGATCTAATATCCTCACTCCTAGGTATTTATCCAAGAGACATGAAAATGAATATTCACAAAAAAATCCATTTGTGAATGTTTACAGTGCCTTTATTCAAAATTGCCAAAAACTGAAAAGAATCCAAAAGTCCTTCAACTGGTGAGTATATATCATATCCACTAGAAGGACTAAAACTTAAAAAAGATACTACCAAATGTTGATAAAAATGTGGAAGAATCAAACTCTAATATACTGCTAGCAATTAATTAGTATAACCAACAACTCTGAAAAACCCTACGAGAGTTGATTACACACATATCATACCATCTAGCAACTCCAATCTTAGTTACATACCCTGATGGAAATATATACACACATTTACCAAAAGACATGAATAAGAATATTCACAGACATTATTCTAAACATCCCCAAGGGGAGACCACTCAAGAACCCAATGATATATAAATAATAAAATAGTCACACAATGGAAAACTATACATGTAAATACAATGGGAAACTATATAAGAATGAATACCACCACACAGAACATGGATAAATCTCACAAACATAATGTTGAACCAAAAAGATATTGTAGGATTCAATATACAAAGTTGAAAAGGAGGCAAAATGAATTTATGGTATTAAAACTCAAGATAGTGGCTGACCAGCAGGGGCTAGAAACAGGCACAAGGGGGCTTATGGGATTCTGGTTATGGTCCATTTCTTGATTTAGACACTGGTTACAAAAATGTGTGTAGTCCTGTGAGATTCATCAAACTGCATTCTTCTAATTTGTGTACTAATAATATTTACTTCAATAAAAATACCAAAAATATACAGACAATCACAGATTTGGGAGAGGTAGATTAGGGAAAGAGGGAAGAATATGAAAAAAAAAAAAAAAGATGTTTGGCTTCCCCAAATGTATAGCACAGATTGTTCTCCTTAAAGTTATCAAACCAAATAAAATATAAATTGGTACTAACCATGAAACCAGGTAGTACTGGCTGAGTAAATTTCGTCTTAAAGGAATACAACAACTGTTTTGAGCTTGCATCATAGAAAGAAAGTTGACCTAAAAGGAAAAAAAAAAAGCCTAATTTATTACACAAAAACATTTAATCAAATCTAACATATCATCATGGGTAAATGTAATAACACATATTTTGGCACTTTTTTTGCTTACAAACTATAAGGACTAGACTCAGAAATTCTCACTTGAAAATCAGTAATCAGTAGTAGACGTGTAAGAAAAAGCCCAAATCTAGTTTTCTTTCCTGATTTTCAGGACCTCCATAGTGCTTCCATAATCTGGCACTACTCTACTTATTCAACTATGAACTATTTATTTTATCATTATTTAACAAATGGTTTCCTTAACTTAGTAAAAACCAGGCTATTTCTTCTTCATTTTTATTATAACCAGCCTCTGTACCCAAATCCCATCATCATTTAAGGCTTACTTTATTAAACCTTGTCTTCTAAACACTTGAAGCCATATTCATTTCAGTCTCTGAAATCATAATTATCACTGCTTCGGTTTTGTTAATTTTTAAAATACCTCACAGTCTTTCAACATGACCATGCAACTAAAATAACTGTCTTTCTGACCACCCAACTGTCCAACCTGATGGTCTCCTTACATCTGTTACCACTTCTTGAAATTCTTGTCCCATGACTTCTCTGTATCTCTAACCCTGAGGATATCTTCTGTCTCCTTTTCTCCTATTCTGAAGGTAGATGCTTGTCCAGGTTCTGTGTTCTCTCTACAATGTTCCCTTAATGACTCAGCTGCCACCAAACAGAGAAGAGAAACTAATATTTATGTCTACCATTAATGCACTGGGTTCTTTATATACAGTACATCAAAACATTAAGCAACCTATGTATGGTCACAAAGTAAACAGCAGAGCAGTAACATTTAATTGTTCTTCAGTAGCCACTCTGTGATGCAGTGTCTAACATTTAGCTTCAGCTCTACTTCTCTTCTGAGTTCTAACACTGAATTTCTAAGTCTAAGCCAGCCATGCCACACGATTGTCCTGCTGGCATCTCCTCTTTCCCCAGACTATGTTCCCCATGCTGCAGATGACATACCATCCTCTTGACCACACTGGCTGGAATCTCAGTCATCTTCAACTCTTTGTTTGCTCTCCAATTCATATTTAGCTTTTGAGTCCTATGACTTCTACTTCTCAGAACCACCAAATCCATTCCTCCGGATTCCCCACTGCTCAGGCCCTTGTTACTATTAATCACTCAACAAACACTTATTAAGGGCTTACGAGGGGCACCTGGGTGGCTCAGTCGTTAAGCGTCTGCCTTCAGATCAGGTCATGATCCCACAGTCCTGGGATCGAGACCCGCATCGGGCTTCCTCCCTGCTCAGCAGGAAGCCTGCTTCTCCCTCTCGCACTCCCCCTGCTTGTGTTCCCTCTCTCCTGTCTCTCTCTCTGTCAAATAAAGAAATAAAATCTTAAAAAAAGGGGGGGGGGCTTTCTATGTAAAAGCACTTGCCAGGCAATAAGGATATAATACCTAACAAGACAAACATGGTCCTGCTTACACTGCTCAAAGACTGACTCCTGAAAAGTCTTACTCTATGTTTGCAATCTCTTCCACATTTAACCACTTACTCTCCAATAGTTCTAAAATTAGATTATCATCATATGACTATGGTTTTTAAAAATGCATAGAAATCCCCTTCCCTCAACTACTATAAAAAAGACAAGCCTATTATTATTTTTCAAGGCCCTCAGAATCAGATTCCAACCTACATTACTAGGGATGGATTGGGCAATTTCTAAAGTCCATTCCAACTTGAAAAATCTGACTCCACCCCTCTTTTCAGGTAATAAAAATAAGGTCAGGAAGGAATTAAAATGGACAGAAAAAATTTTAATGCTTAAGACAAAAATTAAGAAAATCATTCTTTCAGACTTATTAAGCATATTATAGATGAGTGCTTTTGTAAGGCTTCAGGCAAACATCACACACCCTTCCAGTCAATTCTAGAGCTGAAATTATGTTTGTGATCAAATCCTAGTAGGTCAAAACACCCTGACCACCACATTAATGTAAACTGTATATAGACGATTACCAGTGAAAAGTACTAAAATATAAGCAACTATGACAAAATGACTTATGAGAAAATCAGTAAACTTACCCCCATCAAAATCACAAAATACACCTATTCTCTCAGGAACAGTAGCATCCAAGGCTTTGACTTTATTATTATGCTTTGCTGCAAATGTGTTCTGAAGCCAGTTGTTGACATGGATACACCAACTAGTGTTTGTCTTTCCTAATTGGTCAAATTTCCCCAAAGTCTTGTATGCTACTCCCACACTGTAGGATTTACAATCCTTCTGGGCTTTGACCTCCCAATAATGTTGTCCACTTTCAATAGCAGTGTCTCCTGCAAAAGACGAGAAAGGTAAATTTGGCTCTAACTTCTTCCTTATGAGTCACATAGATTTTTACCCATATCTCATCCCACAAAATGGCACAAAAAATCTGATTCAGAAAAATAACCATATTAACACATGGACACTAAATGCAGAGTATTTGCTATAACTTTACTTGTATATTTACTACTAATTTTTCTGATTTATAAAAGGCTTTAGAACTTTTCTTCCTTACTATCTCCTCAAAAGATATGCATATACTCTACTGGGTATTTACCCCAAAGATACAAATGTAGGGATCTGAAGGGGTACATGCACCCCGATGTTTATAGCAGCAATGTCCACAACAGCCAAACTGTGGAAAGAGCCAAGATGTCCATCGACAGATGAACGGATAAAGAAGATGTGATACACACACACACACACACACACACACACACAATATGAAATATTATGCAGCCATCAAAAAGAATGAGATCTTGCCATTTGCAACGATGTGGATGGACTGGAGGGTATTATGCTGAGCAAAGTAAGGCAATCAGAGAAAGACATGTATCATATGACCTCACTGATATGAGGAATTCTTAATCTCAGGAAACAAACTGAGGGTTACTGGAGTGGGGGGTGGTGGGAGGGATGGGTGGCTGGGTGATAGACATTGGGGAGGGTATGTGCTGCGGTGAGCGCTGTGAAGTGTGCAAGACTGTTGAATCACAGATCTGTACCTCTGAAACAAATAATACATTATATGTTAAAAAAAAAAAAAGAAGATAGCAGGAGGGGAAGAATGAAAGGGGGCAAATAGGAGGGGGAGACAAACCATGAGAGACTATGGACTCTGAAAAACAAACTGAGGGTGTTAGAGGGGAGGGGGGTGGGAGGATGGGTTAGCCTGGTGTTGGGTATTAAGGAGGGCACAAACTGCATGGAGCACTGGGTGTTATACAAAAACAATGGATTGTGGATCACCACATCAAAAACTAATGATGTAATGTATGGTGATTAACATAATAAAAAAATGAAAAAAAGAGATATGCATATACATAGAGCACTACATAAATGAAGCAATCAATGATTAGACAAATTGAAACCCGCCAAAAGTAATCAGGCTTCAAGAGGGATAAACTTTGGCAAATATTCATTCAGTACACAGGCCACTCCAACTCTAAGTGAGTGGAAAGCCCACGAGTGTGACCGTGATGCCTTTAATATCAACTGACATAATGAAGACTATGTGTATCCTACCCAGCACTGTGTACGATTCCCCAGTGAAACGATCTCTGCTGCCTCTTACTGCTGGTGGCCTGGAGCCTATGGATGTCCGTTTGGGGGATGGTGTGCCACTTCTATATAAACAGGAAAAAAAGAAAAACAAATATTCTAGGTTATAAATGTTTCACAAACTAAAATTACAAATTATAAAAGGAAACTTTGAAAAGATGTTTAATTATATTGCACAAATAACACCATTTACTTTTATCTGAATTATTATCAAACAGAGTTGTCAATTATAAACACTGAAATGTAAGAAGTCATCAACACAAAGCAGGCTGAACACTAATATCATGCAGACTGAACAAAGCTTATATAAAGGACACACAGTTGATATAAGAAACAATGCCAAAATGAGACAAGATAAAAAGGAAAACAAAAGAACCGAAAGGAAGAAAAAAACTCAAGAAAGGTAATGGATTATAGAGCTTACATTTCTTGCAGTTAAATTTAAATTTTAAAATGCAAAAATACGATTATAATGAAAACTAAATAATCTTTTCATAAGCAGCAAATATTTTTGTTCTGGATCTTTTCTTCTTAAAAAGAAGAAATAGTAAATGCCCAAATCCATGCACAGGATAATATAAAATATTATAAAGCATTTCTCCTACTAAAATGAATAAGATTCAACCTGATCTCCCCTTACATCAAATTATATGATATGATAAACAGGACAGTATTAGGCCTTTCACTAAATCTCAAAAACGCAAAATAAATCAAAACCCAAATATGCCTAAAAAATAACATTTCAATTATACTGAATCACTGCATTTAAAAAACAAAAAAATCATAACTTACCAGTAGTAAAGAAATAAAGGGAAAGCATGGAGAAAAGACAAAAAACATAACTATTAAGAGTAGCAGTTTAAATTTCAAAGAAAAGTTAAATAAGGAGGACTCTTCCATTGCAGCTTCTAGACTTCCAACCCTAAGAACATTTCTGCAAGCAGTACAGCAGCTATTACTGTCCTAGGTCAAACATGATCCCTCCCACCTCTCCCCTTTAACAATACCTTTGCAGCTTGACCGTGTAAAAAGTCTACCTGGACTCTAGATCGTTTTACTAGTTTCTGAAATGATCTCTTTGCCACCCAATTCATCTTGTTCACTATTACCAGATAAATCTATGTGACACGCCTACTTTAAAATCTTCAAGTATTCTTTCCTGCCTACAAACAACTTAGCTTGGCATTTCAGATTCTTCTGGATTTGGTCCCAATCCACTTTTCTTGCCTTCTCACCCCCAGAGAGCAGCTAAATGTAGCAGCTAAAGTGTTCCTTAAACTCAGGCAACCTGCTTCAGTGCCTTTTCTCTTGTTCCTCCCTCTCTCAATCCAAGTCCAAATGGCATGCATTCTTCTACTTTCTTGAGAACCAGCCTAAATACTATTTCATTAATGAAAATCTTCCAGGTCTTACCAGGCTAAATAACACTTCTGAGGAATCCAGCTCCAGGCCAAAATCCTATGTGTAGCCTTTCAGGCCCAACCATAGACAATTATAAAAGGCTTTTAGTGACAGGCCTAGGAGGGCTGCCTTTCCCATACCAGACTTGGTGCATAGCTAGTTCACCACAGTTTCTGAAGGGAGATGCAATTCACCCCTACCCCAACCCAGTGCTCATATGCGTATCTGCATTCCTAGCTTAAGCACCTCTATTCAGACTCCCCCTTATGAGACCTTTTCAGCTGCCTCTGTATAGACCTCCTTACAGGGGACAGGGGTGAGGTGTGTAGTCTGAAGACACTCTCTCCACTCCATCTCGATATTTTTCCACTTCTAACCTTCCCTCTTCTCCCTTCTTCTTGGCCTCAGGTCCATAAAACAACAGGAAGAGCATTCTGTTTGGGGCTCTCTTGGCAGTGAGATGATCCTCCAGATAACCACCATTTGCAATCTTTGATTTAACTGACCCTCACCCAGTGCCATTCTGTTGGGAAAAATGGAACACTGAAGAGAGCTAGCAGCCTTTCCTTTGAGGCCCCTTGCTTATACTATCACGTAAGTGAATATAGGCTTGATTGTTACTTTTAGTTTGACTCAATGTCCTAACTGATCACCTTAAAACCTGGCAGCTCAAGACATCTTTCTTCCTCAAAATCCTTTATTCATGCTTACCATAACATGTAATCTCTACCTTGTATTATTGTTATTTGATTATAGATATGTATCTTATATACATAAACTAGGGCAAATTTCTTAAAGGCAGGAACACTGTTTATCCCTAAAGCCCCACCACATCCAGCTAACACCTTACGTGAACAAGTATTTATGGAAAGAATAAGTGTATATAACATTCCAGAAGTACCCTACACATAAAATACCCTTAAAAAGGAGAGGAGAAAGAGAAATAATATGATCTGAACTACTAAATACAAGCAGTCTATAAAAATCTCCAAGTGACCAAATGAAACTTCATATATAAATCCAGCAACATTTTATAATTTATAATATGCTGACGCTGAAGTCACTTTCACTAATAATGAGCAGATAAACCAGAAAAAAGAAAATAATTTTGAAAAGGGAATACATTCTGGTTTCTTCAAATTAGCACATTATTAATTATGAAATTTGAATTGATTCATCTTTCTGAGCACTGTCCTAGTAATTTCAGTAATGACCTTTATGTTTTATCCTTGATACTTCTGAAACTGCATGATCACTACACAATATAGAACACTTCAAACCTGCCTTGTGTCAAATACAAATAAAAACAAAGCTGTAATGTTAGATATAGTGAATACAGCACAAGAAAGATGCCAGGTATAAGTAAATATAGAAAAAATCAGATGAGGGAAAATAAGACTTTAAAGCAGAGCTTATTGTTTTGTTACCATATACAATATAATCTAAACAGTATGCAGCATACTCTAATACTGTAAATTCAAAACATAAGCTACCAATACAGACAGTCTACACAGAGCAGTATTTTAGCTTATGAAAGCGCTGCAATGGCTTCTGCTTATTGGTTAAAAGAAAAATTAAAGTTATTCAGCCAAGCTAGATATACTAAGTCCTAGAACCAGACAGACATAGATCATCACCTTGTATGTTTCTTCAGTGAAGTAACATGGACACTGTTAGATAAAAATAGGCAACTGTTAAGAGACTGCTTTACAACTTAAATTTAACAGCTTATACTAAAATTAGATCAAAAGTCTGCTGAGAAATTTTTTTTAATTCACTGTTTTAACTCACAGTGATATTACTTTATTTCAGTTTGAGCAAAATTTTCCTCTGTTAAAAAAGAAAGAGGGGCGCCTAGGTGGCTCAGTCGTTAAGCGTCTGCCTTCGGCTCAGGTCATGATCCCAGGGTCCTGGAATCGAGCCCCGCATTGGGCTCCCTGCTCCATGGGAAGCCTGCTTTTCCCTCTCCCACTCCCCCTGCTTGTGTTCCCTCTCTCGCTGTGTCTCTCTCTGTCAAATAAAATCTTTAAAAAAAAAAAAGGAGGGCGCCTGGGTGGCTCAGTTGGTTAAGCAACTGCTTTCGGCTCAGGTCATGATCCTGGAGTCCCGGGATCGAGTCCCGCATCGGGCTCCCTGCTCGGCAGGGAGACTGCTTCTCCCTCTTGCACTCCCCGTTTGTGTTCCCTCTCTCGCTGTGTCTTTCTATGTCAAATAAATAAATAAAATCTTTACCAAAAAAAAAAAAAAAGGAAAGAGGCTCCCATACTTTGGAGACTGTCTAAGTAAGTCTGACAACAAAAGGTCCCAAGACTTCCTCTTTGGTTCATAAGGTTGCTGATCAGGGGCAAGACAATGGGACAGTACATGCTAAAAGCTGTCATTTAAGGCAGACCTTCAGGTAAGACAGGTGATCTATAAGTCTCAAATTCAGGAACTTCTCTCTTAAGCAGTTCAAGTTGCTGTAGATATAACTTTAAAGAAATAGATTGCTGAAATGTGTAAAAAGAGGATTAGGAAAAGAAAAAGTAATAAGAAATGTTATAACAAATTCCAGTATTGATAAACAGTATTATATTCCTCACTACTGTGGTGTTATTAACCTATCACAAATCATAGTCATTGTCAAGTAAGAAACAATGTACAAGCAGGTGTCCACATAACAGATCTAATGAACTGGCTTACCTGCCCTTATTCTCTTTCCCTTTCATTTTATTTTCTTGACCTTTTCCTCCAGTAGGATCCCACTCTACACAGGTATCTTCAACTCTCAGGTTCAAATGGGATGATGAGTTATCCAAACTGAAGTTTAGTGCTGTCCAAAACAATATTTCACTTTTTAAAAAATATAGAACATATCCATATTCTGAAGCACAACTATCATCACATTATTTTCCTACTTAATTTATTCAACACTATAGATAAACTTTAATAAAGTTCAAATTCCTAACGCTAGCATTTAAAGTACCCAAAGATAAGGCTGTAATTTACTAACTCCTACTTTATTGACCATTGTTGTTCTCTACATATCCTGTAACTCCAACCAAATACAATGTACTTGCATGGCCTCTGATGTCTCTGCTATTCCTTCTGCTGGAATCTCCATCAGCACATAATAATCTCAACTTTCTGTTATTAGAATATCAGTTGATTATCAGTTGATTGCTACGACTAAATAGGAAGAGGAGCGGTAGACTTGAGGATGCGGAAAAGGTGATGTGGTGTAAAAAATTATACAGCCTGGCACAAACACATTTTCTCTGAGGCTCTAATACTTAATATTTTCATATTTAAACTCTCAGTAGTTTTGAATTAAAAAGCACAGAGAAACAGCCTATGACAGCAGAATCAAGGAAACTGGCCCAGCTGATAGAGCTAGATATGACTTAGATGGCAAAGACATGGGGAAAGGACGACTTCCATGAAAACAAATCAAAAAACTCAAAACATCACAGGAATAAAAGGCACAGCATAGAGCATATAGTCAGTGGTACTGGTTATATGATGACAGATGGTAGCTACGGCTTGCAGTAAGCACAGCACAACTACAGAGAAGCTGAATCACTATGTTGTACACTTGGAACTAATGTAATGTTGTGCCAAATTTTAAAAAATAATTTAAAAAATGAAACAAAACTATGCTTTTCAAATTACTTGGTACTTTGGGAAACTATCTATCTTACTCATAGACTTACTCAGAACTGCTAGTTTAGGAAATCAATGTAACAAGGTATTACCTTCTCTCTTTGAAACTGAAGGTAAATCATTAAAATGTATTGATTAAGCTAAATAATGCAGAATTCCTCCTGTTCTCAAATGCAATTCCTAGAATCTCTGCCTTAAGCAAGGTATCATCTACTATATAGTTACCAACTAATCTGCTTCTGTTAGTTATATTTTCCTTCAAAATTTCAAATTTCTGGTAATTACTCATTGTAGTGATATTCCGTTACAACCCTATTTCACTTAAGGATATTACTCGATTTAGCCAAAGCTTCAGTGTATCTACAAAGTATGCATCATCAAACAACAAAATAGTCATATACAGAGCCTAATGTTTACCTAGTAAATTAAAAATTTTTTCCTTCACTATTCTGTAAAGAGCACTTTAATTTTTTATTTTTTAAAGATTTATTTATTTGTCAGAGAAAAAGAGAAAGCACAAGCCGGGCGAACGGCAGGCAGAGGGAGAAGCAGGCTCCCTGCTGAGCAAGGAGCCCGATATGGGACTTGATCCCAGGACCTTGGGATCATGACCTGAGCTGAAAGCAGACCCTTAACCGACTGAGCCACCCAGGAGTCCCAAGAACACTTTAATTTCAACTATGCATCTGACCATTGTTCATTGTCTTTATTTATAAAATAACTTTCTAAATACAAATCTACTGACCATACTACTTCTAGGAAATATCATACTAAACAAGTTGTTAACTTTTCAAAATTTGCAATGTAAACAGAAATGAACTTACAGAAAGAATATAGTTTTTCAATACAAATGACAAAAAAATTCCTTAACAAGGTTACTAAATAGGCATTTAATAGTTACTTCATAAGTAGGTTACCAAAAAATTAGGATTAAGCAAATTTGAGACCCTGCACTATCAAGAATGAACTGTCTTAAGAAAAGAGGGTTGGGGCGCGTGGCTGGTTCAGTCAGAAGAGCATGAGAATCTTGATCTCGGGGTGGTGAGTTCGAGCCCCACACTGGGTGTAGAGATTACTAAAAAAATAAAATAAAATAAAATAAAACAAAAAAACCCAGGGTTTATTAACCCCTATATTAGCTATTAGACAATACATGTGAGGGTATCTACTGGAGAGAAAGAAAAAGTAAGTATTACTCTAAAGTGCAATCAATTCTTAGCTGCTTGTTAAGATCTAAGGCTTTATTTTTTTTTTTAGATTTTTTTATTTATTCATTCAAGACACAGAGATACAGAGAGAGAGAGAGAGAGAGAGAGAGCATGAGCAGGGGCAGAAGCAGACTCCCCGCTGAACAGGGAGCCCGATGTGGGGCTCGATCCCAGGACACTGGGATCATGACCTGAGTCAAATGCAGACGCTTAACCATCTGAGCCACCCAGGCACCCCGATCCTAAGGCTTTAAAAAAAATAATAAAGGCAAGAAAAAAATCCTAAGGCTGTTCCCTAATGTTTAATATGATGAGAAGGGTGGAGTCATGAGTGGCAAGAAAAGATATAATCTCCAAGCCAACTGAAACTAGACTTGCTAAATACCACAGCATGCAGACAGAAGGGCACAGGCTTCAATCCCAGAGGTATAATCTTTTACCTCGCTCCCTTTGTTTTGTTTTGTTTTGGACACTATCCCCTTTATGGGACCTCAACTAAGTCACTGAGTCTCGCTAAGCTAACAGGGATATGGTGTAGTTTAAAAAAAAAATTAAAAAAAGGACTGGTCTCAAAAGTGAGGTCTCAAACATCAGTCCTCTCTCTCACATCATCTCTAAATAGAGACAGGTATTAGTTTCTGTATCTTTAAAAGTCTGTGAAAACAAAGTACCAAAAAACTGAAGCACCATTATGCTTCATGTGTGTGTTGGTGGCTGCTTTCTTGGTACTCCATATCATAGCCACTATCATTTCAAACTAGAGAGTAATTTGTGATTAATATTGTATCATTCACCTTTACAAGGAAGTAAGGGATAAAATACTTAAAAATTCTATACATAAGAACTTAGATTACTCATCACATGTGACAGTTCCAATGACAAGAAACAATGCTACTACATTGGAGAGACAGAAATGAAAAATGTTCAGTTTCCCACATTGAACACCATTAAAAGGCAGGATATCAAATTTTGGTAGGATTCCACTATTTAATTTCCATCTCCCTTTCCCTCCAGTTCTTTGTTCCATACATTTCTACGGTTGGTCAAAAAGCACTATAGCAAGCCAAAAAAATTAGCAAACAATTGTTCAACATGTCATTTTTTTAAAAATCTGAACTTTTCCTCTGGAGCTCTTCCTCTCATTAGTAACTACTCCAGTGACCTACAGCCATGTAAGGGACAAATTTTATTCTAGGTCTCCCTGAAGGTCAGAATCAATGTTTAGTAGGTCTCAGGGTTGAGTTTCAGTCTATCCCCACCCCAAGAGGTTTACCCCACAGTGAGAACTCTTTTTCTTTCTTTTATAATTCCAACACAACAAACTGCTGGGATTTTTTTTTTTTTTAAGGATTTTATTTATTTGAAAGTGAGAGAGAGAGCATGAGCAGAGGGAGGAGCAGAGGGAGAAGGAGAGACAGACTCCCCACTGAGCAGGGAGCCTGATGTGGGGCTCGATCCCAGAACCCTGGGATCATGACCTGAGCCAGGCAGACGCTTTACCAACTGAGCCACCCAGGCGCCCCTCACAGTGAGAACACTTGAAAGGACTAAAATCAACTTAGTCTTTCTCTACAAACACTAAGACCAAGAATTTGACTACTAAGATTCAGACACTGCCAATAGGAGCAGCCAGCCCAGCTCCAAGAAGACTATGAGCCAGCTATTCATTTTCCTGAATCTGTGGAATTTGTATAGAAATGTACATGTCTGGGGTGCCTGGGTGGCTCAGTCATTAAGCATCTGCCTTCGGCTCAGGTCATGATCCCAGGGTCCTGGGACTGAGCCCCGCGTCGGGCTTCCTGCTCAGTGGGGAGCCTGCTTCTCCCTCTCCCACTCCCCCTGCTTGTGTTCCCGCTCTCACTATGTCTCTGTCAAATAAATAAATAAAATCTTAAAAAAAAAAAAAATGTACATGTCCAAGTTTGGTCACTAAATTTATTATAAAGGGTAAAAAAGAAGGAACAAAAGACATAAAAAGATACAATACTCCTGAGGGAGAATAATAATGTAATTTTACCGGACAAGGGCTAAAAACAGTTCAAGTTGTGTAGAAAAGATTAATCTACGTAAATATGACTATACTTTGAAATGGTTAAAATTTCTAAAGAAACCACAGTAACGTCTCAGTTTGATTGCAAGTAATTTAAAGTAATTGCATTTCTTGGCTATCTATAGTTCTTGAATAAAAACATTTGGTAATCCAAACAAATTATTCAACTTAGTTTTTTTACCTTTGTGATGCAAATACAGTCTTTTGAGTTTGCCTTGTCAATAACTTATGGACCTCATATTTTGTTTTATTCTGATATAATATTTTTACATCACTTCCAAATCATATCAAACTCTGGTATGCAAACCCATTCTAATGATATATGAACTAGAGGTCAGTGGAACACTTGAAGGCCCAAGTACCTCAACAATGTGGAGAATATGATTCTTGAAGTAAACCCAGTCAATTATCATCTCACAACTGACAAGATCTCTAGCATTATGGCCTTCCAAGTGGTAAATATCTTAAAAATCTTCTATGTTGAAATACGTTATTCTAGAGTTTTTACTAAATACAAATTGCTCTGAAGACTAGAAGCACCCAGGTTCCAAGGCCCACAATAAGGGCTGGCACAGAACTTGGAAACAGATTCTTAATTACACCTTTCCAAGTTAGTTCTAGAGATCGTGGGAAGTCATTTAACATACTTAAACTTCACTTTCTTCATCTGCAAAATGGGTATCAATAATATCTAGAATACTGATCTCTCAAGATGGTTTTAATGATGAAATGGAGAACTCTGAGAGTGCTTTGTAAACAGTAATAAAAATACAATGTTAATTTCTAGAATAAAGTTTAAGAAAACATGGGGCACCTGGGTGGCTCAGTCAGTTAAGGGTCTGACTCTTGATTTTGGTGCAGATTATGATCTCAGGGTCATGAGACTGAGGACGCATCGAGCCCCGCACAAGACGTGGAGCTTGCTTATTAAGATTCTCTCTCTCCCTCTCCATCCACCCCTTCCCCCCTCCCTCTCTGGAAAGAAGGAAGGAAGGAAGGAAGGAAGGAAGGAGGGAAGGGGAAGGGAAGGGGAAGGAAAGAAGGAGAACCTGAACTAAACTGAAATGGTACTTCCCTATTATTGAGCCATAATCCATTCCCTGAGAAATCTGTAGGCAAATCTCATTGATGCGTATGTATTTATACTAGATTGCAAATTATAAACTAACATCCACCAGAGCCATCATCTCGGTCTATTTTACCCATCTGAACACCATCATAAAGGATGAACTAATGGGGGTGCCTGGGTGGCTCAGTCATTAAACATCTGTCTTCAGCTCAGGTCATGATCCCAGAGTCCTGGGATGGAGCCCTGCATCTGGCTCCCTGCTCAGCGGGAAGCCTGCTTCTCCCTCTCCCACTCCCCCTGCTTGTGTTCCCTCTCTCACTGTCTCTCTCTCTGTCAAATAAATAAATCAAATCTTAAAAAAAAAATGAACTAATGAAAACCAATTTTGTAATTCTAATTTTCCCATCTTAAAATTCCTACTGCTGGGAACTCCAAGTATGTGTATGTATGTGCACATGCAGTGGGGAAGAAGTGCTACCATACATGAAATGCTTCCTGTCACAGTCTTGAATAACTTCGGATGTTAAGTTTTGTTTTATGCTGTATAAATATCTATGATCTTACCTTTGGTCTCCAGAGTCACTGGATCAGAATACTCTCCAGCTACAGCTTTGTTACAAGCTCGTACTCTGAAATTCATATACTTTGAATCAAACTTCAAGCCTGAGAAAATGAAAATGGTTTTCAGATATGAAAAATAAAGGGATCTACTCCAAAAGTATGAATATGAACCTTCAAACAGACACTTTCCCTGCTTGAAACTATTTCTTTACTCCAGGAGAGTACATGTTTATGTTAAAACGATGATAACACCTCAAATAAGAGGAATCATGATTTATCTATTACTTTCTTCCAAAGAAATAAATTATATATAGTTTTCAATGTAGATTTTTTTTAAACCTAGTTATAAAAAGGTACTCTCAAGCCTTGTTAAAAGTGATGTTTTATTCAAGGAGAAATTTAAAATAACATTCAGTTTCTGGAAAGAAGACACCCTAAAGAATTTTTATATTTATGAAACATTGTCTTTTTATGTGAAAAATGAATTTAAAGAGAAAGTAGAGCATAGGAATTAATAGTAAACTCTGAAGTTAGTCAAGTCTAGATTAAAATCTCAATCCACGGCGCACCCGGCTGGCTCAATCGGTAGAGCATGAAACTCTGGTTCTCAGAATTATAAGTTTGAGCCCCACAATGAATGCAGAGATTACTTTAAAAAATAAAATAAAATCTTTAAAATTTCCATCCAAAAATTACTAGCTATGGGACTGTCAACAACTTGACAGGCAGTTTTTGTATCTGCAAAATAGAAATCATAAAACCAACCTCATAATTATAAAGACTAAATGAGATGTGTTGTGTAATACACTTCAGCCCAACTCCTGACAAACAGTAAGTGCTCAATAATGGTAATGTTACTGCTCATGCATAAGAAGTGTTGAAGAACTCTGGAAACATCTGTCCATTTCAAATACCCAAAGTCCCCTATATGTGGAAATACCTTTTGTGTGTGTGTGTAAATACCTTTTTAAAGACTTTTAAAAGGCTAACACAAATTTCTAATACCAAGTCACGGCCCTTAAGTATTACTGTGAAGGTAATCATAAAAAGGTAAAAGCAAAAGTATTCATGGTACCACTAAAATGTAGGGTAGTATGTACACCAAGAAAATTGACAGATTTTTTATTCTTAGAAAACCAAGGTTAAAATCAAATGTTATTCTGAAATATTGTTTCCAGAACACCCCTTCATGTTTGTTTTACATACATTGTTTTACCAGATTACAAATATCCAGAAGTAATTAAAATGAAAGTTTTCCTGATATTTTAAGAGAAACTTACTTCTATAATGAATTATAGGGAAAGTCAGTGTGGCTAAAGAAACTTAATCTTTTAAAGTAACTCAAAATATTTTTCACAATTACATTTACTTTCTGAGAATGAGATTCATGAAATGCAGTCCTTTTACCTGATAGTGTATACTCGGTACCCTTAATATTATCGATTACTTCCCAGCATCGTTCATCCTTTACACGTGGAAGTCCATCAAAATTAGTTTTCCGATGTTCCAGTATAAAATGATCAATCTTATTATCTTCTTCTGGCATTCTCCAAGCTACTGTTACAGAATTGTCAGCCACCAAACACTCTACTGGATCTATCTCTGGAGCTTTAGGGACTGAAGAAAAAAAAAAAAGGTTCATTTCATTTATTATAGTAATAATCCAATATTTATGTTTGTCATTCAAACTGCTTTTCATGTTGCTTTTGAATGGTACAACTGAATGAGGCTAAGAGAAAGGGTAACCTAATAAATGCAAAATAACTATTTTTCAAAGTTCCACTTAAAAGTTCATGTTTCAAGTTTTTTTATAGACTTATTCAAAGTTTATTAAAATCCTAGTTGGCAAAAAGCAATTCAAACATGCCAAAGATAAAGAATCAAGAATAACTTGTTATTTCTAAACACATACTTCTTAATCTGCTACTTCAAACAGCTGTAGAATATATATTAAATCACTGAAAACAAAATAGAAAACTTTGCTTTGAATCCAATGATTAAAGTAATTTAAGATAGTTTCAATGTATTTTTAAAATCTTATTTATAAAAGAATTGTAATTTCTCATCACTAAACAAAAATGAACTCCCCATACCCCCAAAAATACTTTAGGATTTTTAGATGTTTCTGCAAAGAGTTCTATGAGTCATTAAAATTAACCAGGGTAAATGAGCCATAACTAACATCTATGAACAGTAATTCATTTCTTTTCCATAGAAGAGATTTTCCATAGCTCCTCAACATCAACAGATGTTCCATTTGCAAAACAAGAGACTTAATTGAAGAACATGGTCCTCCAGTGACATAGATGTGTCTAAAATGTGTGAAACTGCAGATATTGTAGTTAAACATTCTGTCACTAAAAAGAGTTTTTAAAAGACTTATTCCAAGTATACAGGGCTGGTTTAACATTCTAAATCAATTAATGTAATCGATCACATTAGAAGAAAAATCACATGATCTTATCAACAGAGAAAAAATATTTGACACTCATGACAAAAACTCAGCGAACCAAAACACAGAAGAACTTTACTTGATAAAGAACATTTGCAAAAAAGCTACCGTTAACATTATACTTAATATTGAGAAACTAGATACTTTTCTTCTAAGGCAAGTCTCCCTTCACCACTCGTATTCAACACTGTACTCCATGGAAGTTCTAGCTAAATGCAATAAGATGAGAAAAGGAAGTAAAAGGTATACAGATTAGGAAGGAAGAAATAAAAGCTCCTTTGCTCACTGATGGCATCAATGTCAATGTAGAAAATCTGAAGAATCAAGGAAAAAAAAAAATTCCTGGAACTAACAAGCCATTATAGCAAGGCTGCAGGATACAAGGGATGTACAGGCAGAGTAGAGGGGAATTTTAGAGCAGTGAAACTATTCTGTATGATGTCATGGTGGATATGTGATATAATACATTTGTCAAAACCCAAAGCACTGTATAACACAAAAAATGAACCCTAATGTAAACTAAGAGCTTCAGTTAATAATAATGTATCAATATTGGTTCATCAATTACAACAAATGTGCCACACTAATGCAAGAATTTAATGATAGGGTAAATTGTATTTGGGGGAGAAGGGATATATGGTAAGTCTCTGTACAATCTACTCAATTTTCCATAAACCTAAACCTGTTCTAAAAAACAAAGTATTAATTTTTTTAAGATTTATTTATTTTGAGAGAAAGAGAGCATGTTTGTGTGTGTGTGTGTGTGTGCACGTGCGCACACAGTGGGGAGGAGCAGAGAGAAAAGGAGAGAGAGAATCTCAAGCAGACTCCATGCCTGGTGCAGAGCCTGATGCGGGGGCTCGATCTCAGGACACTGAAATCTGACCTGAGCCGAAATCGAGAATCAAGGCACCCCACAAAGTATTAATTTTTAAAAACGATGACAACAAAAGAATTATATACAGAAGTTAAAATGCAAACCAATGTGGAACTTAACAAATAATAAAGTAAACCAAGTATTTTACATCTTAGATAAAATAATCAAGACCAAGATGAGTCGTTGGTGCGCCTGTGTGGCTCAGTAAGCTAAGCGTCTGACTCTTAATCTCAGCCCTGGTCTTGATCTCAGAGTCATGAGTTCAAGCCCCATAGCCTAGCATCAGGCTCCACCAAGCTCTTTAAAAAAAAAAAAAAACAAGATGAAAAGAATTTGATGTAAATTTTACATCTTCAAGCCTAACTAGTAACAAAAGGAGGAAGGGAGAAAAATGGGACAATTAATCTCTATTATTGAAACGTAAGTGATACAGATTACTATTCATTGCCAAGGGGATAAACCACAGGCATTTATGAACTTAATATGCTCTGCACTGCCTACATGTGAGGAAATGTAAAGGCGTATGGCATGTAGCAATTTCATAATTTTGCTGAGTCAAAAACCAGTACTTAAAGTTCCAAGAGGCTAAGAGAAAACAAGAATCATTTAATTTGTAAGCAGGCCCAGCTAACACTCCACTGTCTACCTCTTAATTCAGCTGCCATTCCTGTAAGAATATACTGGAAAGTAGATACTTCTTTCTTATGAATAATGGTCCGCAAAACAGAACAAACTGCTGAAGTGGTAACTAAGGTAAAAATGAAAAAAAAAAAAAAATCCAAGAAAGTGGTGATAGTTGAGAGGAGAAAGAAAATTTAGATAATTTAAGACTGGTATATCAAATTAAGGTTTACTTGGGTCTAATATGTGGAAAGTTCACCCAAGATTCTATACAGAAGTAAGAGAAGTGTTCATCAAATGAGGGAGAGAACTTCAGGGGAAGATGGAAAGGTGGTACACTTGTAACATAAAATATTACTTAGGAATGCAGAACTCTCTTTGAAAATGAGAATGGAAAGCAATTTCCATAAAGTAACACTTAACTGGCAATAGTGTGGAAACTGGCTCAAGAATTTGACATTCTCCGCATGTGAATGTGAAAGGACAAGTGACATCAACCTTGCCACAGACATGTTTCTCTTCTCAGCTGTAGAAGCTCAGAGAGGAGAAGGATATAAATTCTTAAGTTTCAATGTATAAAAAATAGCTTAGAGTAGAAGAAAATGACTGTAGTTATTACCATCCATCATCATCACTTCCATCTTTCAGACTCAAGTTAAGTCTACAACTCCTGTTACTATACATAATACAGTGCAGAGTTTTGATTTTTGTGGTGTTTATGGAATGGATTATTAAAGGATAAAGGTACTCATTTTTCTAAGTTAATCTGACTCCGTCTTATGGAAAATTCTTATGCTATAGCAGAATAAAAAATTAGTGATAGGAGTTCATCTTTCATAAATTTTCACAACCTATTATATTTTTCCTTTCAGACGAAAGTCCTCCACAAAAGGATTTGTTTTTATTATACCTCATTGCTTTAGAATGTCTTAACAGTTTCCCAAAAGAAGAAATCCTAACTGTGCATGCAATCTACTTGACTATATAATAAACATGGCCTTGGTCTATTAAGCCATCACAGAAAATCCAAGAGAAAGAAAGTAATGGTGAGAAGATTGCTTTTTAGTTTTTTTTTTTAATCAAAATAATAATACTCATGTGTATATTCACAATCCACCACTCCTGACTCTCCTTCTGAATTTAGAAGTAATGTGAACTACAATATAATAGTAATTCCGAAAGGCCAATTTATAGGTAGATATCCACTGACAAGTATACCTTCTTCCTCTAATCTACACCTATGGTTCCTTCTCTCATCTTTTCCTTCCATAAACTCCTCTAGAACTTCTGACCTGTACCACACAAGTTAATACTTCACTTATACTACCCTCATTAGTTCCATTATAGTTTCATGACTACTAACCTGTCTTTACAATCATACTTTAAAGTCCCTGACCAAATATTCAGAGAATGGTTTCATTTGAACAACATTCTCTATTGAAAAACAGCTAACCTCCAAAAGTTAAAGCCAGTTTTAACTAGAACCTGTAAGTAAAAAGCACCTGTAAATAAGTAAAAAAGCACCTGATCCCTCAAATCACCATGTCCAAACTGTTTTAGCTATCAACCTAAGACCATTACTTCATGTTAGCTAAAAAGAAAATACCAACAAAAGGTACTTAGTTGGCTCTCTCACACACGTGGAAAATAATTTGGGACTCAATTTCAAATGGTTTTGGCTACTGGAATATCCTCATACTAATACTCTAATAAACCAATATTAACATATTATTACTGGAAATAAAAGTCCATCTGAGTCAACAACCACAACTATACTAGTAATGACAGCAACTAACATGCACTGAGTGTAAAGTATGTGCCAAGTACTATTTTCAAGTGACTTAGAGGTTTCAATTCATTTAATCCTTATACAAACCGTTGAAGAGTAACATCACATTTTAAAGATGAAGAAAATGAAACAAAGTTAAATAATTTGTTCAAGGTTCACAGCAAGTAACTGGCAGCCAGGATTCAAGTCCAAGTCTGGCCCCAAAACCCACTGTTAACCATCATGACATATTGCTTCTCTCCGCAAAACTAATAATAAAAGATATCCCTTTAATGGGATTCTCAAAATGTAATTTTTACTACCAGTAAAATAATTCTCTAAAACTAAAGACTAGCCAATTTAATTATTCCTTAGCTGAATGAAGAAAAAAACCCACACTATACTTCTCAGTATTTACATTTCAAAGTTCATTACAAAAACAAAAACAAAAACACTTTATATGTTAATATATGTATATACTTACCTGGCAAAAACTTCAAAGTTTGCAGCATCTGTCTTTCCTGAGAAAAATCCACCATTAAATGAGTCATGTTGTCACTGACCTTTGGTTTCAAAGAAAGGCGAAAGGCTGAAGCCATTGTTACTCTACGGTAAACACAAACATACTTTTAAAAATAAAAGAATGGGGAGTATACCGTATTTAATTTATAAATGAAAAGACAGAAGTCATTTCACTTTAGTGATTTCAGAAACTATAACAAAGGTAACAAAGCTAAAAAGAAATTTGTTCTTAGTCTTTTGAAAATTAACTAAACTGTAAAATGTTTTTAAATTTAGACAAAGCAACTTTCCTTCAGGCAGTTTTATAAAATTACACACAAAAATATCACAAGAGAAAATATCCCATATAAATCATCATTAACAGACCCAATAGGTATCTGAACACTCAATCTCACTGACTTCCTGATGCCAACCTCACTCCTTTTCATATGCCAAATAACGAACTGTATATTCTCCTTAGTAGTCACAGCTACTCCATGTATCTTCAATTGAGAGTAAAAGTAGCCTGACCAAATACTGTACAGCCTAGTAGCTGCTAAAGATAGCGCATGGATGAGAAAGGAGAGAAGTGAAATCACTATTTTGAATACCATGCTAGTAGGTGTCACCCTGATATATCGACATCACCTACATGGAAGGATACAAGGAGAAACAGCCTTTTGAAACCATATGCCATGGAAATAATAGTTCAACAAATATTTAATAGATGAATGTGGTATAAAAAACAACAAAAGGAACCCCCCCCAAAAAGAAAGAAGCCATACCAGACCTCATTTTACCCAAAGTATGGGGAACTCTTCTGTCAATGAAAACTGGAGATTAAAAGAAATTCTCATATTCAAATAATTTGTCATTTTATCTCAAATTTCAATTTTTCATATTACAGTAAATTCCCAGAAGTTATCACAAATATCTTTGTGATATTAATATCTTTGGTCAAAGAATGATACAAAAGTACTATTCATGGATGTTGTCCTGCCAGTACACAATTTGGGAGTAGTAAATAGAGCTGAGGAACAAAGGGAATACCAGGCTTAGTCATTCAGATCTGCCTAATCTACCCAGGGATACGTGGTATGAAAGATATTAAATTTGTTGCTATACTCAGTTATTTTGGGATAAAAAACATCAAGCTGTTGTTGTATTCAGTTATTTTATTTCACTTTAAAACTAGGAAAGTAATCACTTTATTAATAACAACGAGTCAACAACAGCTGATCTACTGATCAAGAAGAACCTGCTATAGTGAAATACAACTTATGGGGAAGTGAACTCACTGAAAGTCAAGCATAATGCTGAATATTTCACACACATTACTTTAAGCTGTTGGTTCTCAATGATTAAATTTCAGATTATATAGTTAGGAACAAAGGTTAAGTCTTACTTTGTTCTTTAAAGTCCCAAGTATCTTTCGATTTGAAGACTTCTTAAAGAGCTAGATTCAGATAGGTACTTAGTAAATGACCACGGAATCAATGAATGGGTTTGAACCTACTTGGATACTTCTAAACCTATTTAAATGTTTGTTGAGAACTGTTGGAAAAAAATATCTGAAAGTGTTTCAGGGAATTTAAATCTGAAACTTTATCTATAAAACTTCATTTTAATCACTGTGGCCTCAAAGAAAAAGAATGTCCTCCAAAAGTGCATTAGAAAGGTCTATCAAAACCTAAAAAACAAGAATGACCTTTATTTTCTAGTCAATGAAAATTTCAGTCTCCATAAACCAACTTAGATGTACAACAATGCTATAATCTTTCAAAAGGCTGAATTTTTTATTTTTAAACTGAATATTTAGATAATTGTGCCTGAAAGCCCAAATCAACCTAAAATCCATAGATAATTCTCTAACATTACAGGATCCATATGGTTAGGAATGTTTTCATTCACCTTGACTTTCTTGGTTTATTTCCTATAGTACAGCTGAATACAAAGATCCTTCCCCCCTTAGTTTCCTTTTTACAAAGAAAAAATAACTGCAAAACATATGGATGAACACTTTCAATTTCCTCAAAGTATCTAACTTGACTCACCCTTTCATGACCCTTTTCTTTCAAGAACCGTAAGTCCACAACAAACCTCAACTAGTCATCTTCCAACATTACTAAAAGCATCCGTAAATACATACCAGTGATTTGTAAAGTTACAGAGATCTGCTATTATCTTTTCATTGTAGTTGCTTAGTTTTTCCTGTCATTCCCACTGTTTTTCCTGCATAACTTCTATCACAACAAATGATAAATATTCAGTTCTCACAGATGCTTTCATTTTTATATATTTGATTCCCTGCTCAGGTGTTACACACTCCTCCTTAAAATTCCACTTCTGCCCTCAATATAAGGGAATGATCCTTTCTTCCCTTAGTAAAAATTATTTTACTATAACTATATATTTAAATTATTTTTATATCATAAATGGCAATTATGGAATTCTAGAAGCCTGTTTCCTCAGAGAGTACCTAATATTAATATATATATAATACATATATATCAGAGAAACCTGGACATTTTGAAGTTAAAAATCAAGTTTAAAAAATTAAGCCAAGACCCAGAAGTGTTCTTGGTCAGTAAGTAAAAATTTCATGGGTAGCCAAAATAAATAATGTATAATTTTTTTTGGGGGGGGGGAGTTTGCGCTGACAGAGAAAAGGAACCCTGACTCCTGCTATCACTGACGAAATCAAGCCAAGAAATGGGCTTAGAAGAGGCAAAGAAGTCAAGCTTCACTGAAGCTTTGTGTTCAACCATGAAAATTCATCATTAAATTCTGACAAACAAATCTGGATAGAGAAAGATGTCAGGGGTAAGGATAGGATTCTTGGAAGCACAGAACCATATAGATTCCTAGGAGAGGACAAGAGAAGATCTTGCAAGGGTCCTCGCAAAGTCCTTGGATAGGCCAAAGCCTGATTAGGAAATGACTTCTAATCCAGAAAATCAGAGACCATGACCATAGCAAGACTCAGTGGAGTAAGTGGCTAAACAGAAGAATAATCTAACCACAGTGAAAGATGGATTACATGTAGCAAATTCCAGCAGACAACAACCCAATTATACCTTATCCAAAAAACTGACCTACCTACTAGCATCCACTCCTCATACAGCCAATACTTCTCACCTTCAAACTCTCATAATCACCTTTCTACATCTAGGACTGATAAGATGATCCATGTCTTTAACCACTTCCTGATATAAAATATACCAAAACTGCATAAAAATTAGTTTTTGTGCTAAGAGTGCTATGAGTGCCATGTGAGTCTTGGCTCCAGTCAAACAAAAGACCATCAGAAAAACAGAATTGAAGACTTCAGCCAAAATTAACAATAGACACACTGGTTTTCACACAATCTATGATGAATAATTTTGTGAATTACCTGATGAAGAATAAATAATTTAATCTAGGATTCAGAGTGGTGCTTTGAAGAGCTATGGCTTTCAGAGAATCTCATAATCCTCAAAGGAAGAAACTTTAAGTGATAATCTCACTACAGTCAAAGCTCAGTGATTAGCCAGGAACATCAAAACCATCCCCTCTGGGGTAACTCAATCCAGAACTGCCAGCAGCTCTTCTGGCCCTTTGGTGTTTTCATTAGTGCAAATACTAAATTACCTTTCTTAATCCTGGCTCTACCAATGAGAAAGACCTTTTAAGACAGTCTCATCATTTTCTTTCATTTTCTCTTCCCACACGTTAGACAGTAGTGGCATGAGAAACAGAAGAGATGGCACCAGGAACAGGATGGAATGAGAATACAAAGGTGTTAAACAGGAGAGCAGTCAAACGGGAGCTTTAGCTCTTAAGGACTATTAAAAATGCTATGACTTCTCAGAAAATAAGACATACTTATAAAATTTGTGAACAACAAAAAAACACATTCCAGGACTACGTATTTTTTCATTATCCAAAATGGGTCTCTTATCCATTCATAGCTAATTAAGAACTATACTAAAACTAACTATATTATACCAGAAATGAAATTCTTTTGGGAGTACATAATTGTCCACAACTATGTTTTTAAAAAAATCTTGCTGATACATTGTTTATTCCAGAAGATATGCAAACGAGATTTTCTTTTTTTGTACATGGCCATTAGGTATTTTCATTTTAACCAATGAAAGTCTAATAAGAAACTGTTCTTGAATTTCATTTCTGACTTCAATATTGATACTTATATAAAAACATAGGTTTTATACCATACCTATCCTTGATCTGTCTGGCAGCCTTGGAGCAAATCAGGGAGAAGAGAAAGAAGGCAGTTAGTGCTTTTCATGCAAGTTTCAATGGCAGTGACATGCAAGAAAAGTTAGGATATAAACCCTGAAATAGATTAGTTCACAGTCACCAAAACATGAATTACAGGAAATCTGTACAGTTCACATCAGCTTACATAATGTGATGTTAGAACTATAGTTAAAAAAAAAAAAAAATCCAGACCCCATATAAATCACCTCAAAAGGAGGAAAATTGAACACTTCAAACTAATTCCAGATGACTATACACATTTTTCCTTACCTTAAGATCATCAAAATATACCTCCACTTCCAATTCAGTCTGACACTCAACTAGAACAATCAATCTCCTTCACGGGGCACACATTTCTATGCAACCTAATGGTTTTCTTATACATTTTAAATCTGCTCTCCAATTTTTCTTCAATGATCTCTTTCACCACTTCATCATGGTTGTTCCAAGTTTTCTCTATATGCCTTCCCTGGGCCAAGACTTTGCATTTTGAGAGCTTGCCTGCTAACATATAAAACTGGGCTGCAGTTCTTCAATCCTTTACCCCAAAGAATAAAGTTATAATGACAAAAATTCAGACAAGGAGAAACCAGAGAAATACTTCTGGCAATAAGGTCTTTCCCTGAGATGACTTCATAGAAGCTGCTAACTTAAACCTACTCGGCATGAGATATCTTTTTTTTTTTTTGAGAATGCTAGCAGAAGTTTAGGAAAGGGCATAGTTATCACTTGGTGCTGTACAGTATACGGAAAAACAATGAAAAATACACACAAAACCCGCTGTCCCCTTCACATTTATATATAATATATTCAACAAAAGCTTTTTCCCCCCAAAACTAACCACCATAATTAACAACGCATCCAACGTAAAACATGGCTGTTTTGCTCTACACCCTACCTAGGCCTAGCATAAACCTTGGCACATGGTAATATTAATAATTATTAAATTTAACAATGTTTCTATTGCCTCTCTTCTTCAGTTCTAATCTTGTTCTTATTTGGTATTGGTCATTTTTATACCCATCCTAAAATATTCTGATCTGAGTACCTTTCTACACAAAAAACCAGAACTGACATTTAGGAGATCAGCATATGACACATTTCCAACACTACCATAATCAATTGTGAGACCTGTATACTAATCATTCTCTTTCCTTTATTAAGAAATTTTAGTCCTTACTGTTTCTACAGATCCTTTCCAAGCTCCACATTCTACAGCAAACAACCCAATTTGGTGGCATTAATATGGGTCTTAAGTCATAACACTACTTTGGTACTAGTAATAAGAAATGTTACGAAAGTCAATTACACTCATTTTTAAAAATTGTCATTACAGCTAGATTTATAACCAAAGATTTTAATATAAATGTCAGGAGAGAGAAAAAGGAAACTCCTCTGCTCCTGGTGTTTCTTTACCTATGGAGAAGTGCCACTAGCATTACTCCTTTAGCCTCTTCTATTCCTTCATTTCTCTGGGTGAGGTGAAAGGACTTAATCTGATTATGATTTGAAAGGAGAAACGAGAAATAAGTAGCTCAGCTATTTTTCCCTCTTTCTGGCAGCTTGCTTGTCTACAGAGAACATATATTCTGTTCTCTCCCTCTACGTAGGAAGTTTCACAGAAACAGGCTCTCACACACATACACAGAGCTGACGTACCCTTGTATTGACCACACCTAAGTGGGCAAGTTTGACTAACTCTAGGATTAACATTAGAACACTTGCCCACTGATATAAGCTAAATTCTCCAATATCATTTGATTAGTATTTGGCCTCTTATCAGCTTTATTGCTTTATCTTATTTCCTAACTGGTTTAGAACTTGGTTAGAAGAATGTTACTTACCAATCACTCTCAAAGAACCCAACAATATGAAGACCATAACTGTCTTTTTTTTTTTTTAACAGAGATTTTCTTTCATCTTTCAAGAACATTATACACTATATATGTTTAATTTCCTTACAACAATTTTTTAAAATCTCTACACCCAATGTGGGGCTCAAACTCATGACCCTGAGATTAAGAATCACATGCTCTACTGACTGAGCCAGACAGGCACCCCCAATACTGTCTTTTAAACTGACCATAATGATTCAATTTTGTGTCTAGTATTACTTAACTTAGTAAGGTGCCATTTTTTAGTGTGTCTGTGTACAAGTGTGCACATGTGCACATGCATGTAAAGCTTTCTTATCATTTAATGTACTAGGCTGCTTGTGACAAACCAGAAAAGGAGCAGATGAAAAGCCAAATAATGTTGGAAAAATTGTTGTCTTGTGCATTTATATATAAACATACCCAAGTGATCAAACTGAAGACTCAGCGGTTCCTCTTTCATTTAGGTTCGAATTTAACAGTATATACACTGTGTAAATGCAGAAGGGGTTGAAAAAGTTATTTTGTGCAATGATAAAAGGGTAGAAAGTCTCAAATTCTGAAGATACTTCTCTAAAAGGGTCCAATTTTAAGAAACATCTTAAATTGGAAAATAGTTTAATTTTTTTCTGGAATTTCTTCTCCCAAAGTAGAAATCTATCCAAAAGATACACATTACTGTATTGCTTGATTCCTCTAAGTTTCAATTTCAAGAGTGATGCGTTTTTGTCAATTAAACATCTCTGTTTACCAAGTACCAAATGATTCCAGAATTTACCACTGCTCTATCTCTAACATATTTATTTGCATCTATATAATTCCACTTAGTGAGTTATGAACAGGTCTCAGTTGAATCTTTAGATTTTGGGGTAATGCTACTGTATATTATTTGAAAGCCTTCAAGAAACATTAGCTATATTACCCTGCTCAATATCACTATTTTCAATTTCAATTTTAATCACTATTTCTATTTCAATCTTCTACTGAAATCTTGTTTGCCAACACTTCATTTCTCTTTATTCAGAGATGGCTTCTTCCTCTCTCATTCCCTTCCTCCATCTCTCTAAATGTTTTCAAAATAAATCTTACAATTCTGATCCTTTATCAGTTTTAGGAATCTGTCACCTCAGACCAAACTTCCTGTAATAAGAGTACAAGTAGGAGTATTCACAAATGGTTCTTCATAATTACCAATAAAGTATAAAGAATTTAAGCCAGATCTTTTCCCAATCTCTCTTGTTTTTAATCTCCTCTAAGTAGATATAGAAACTATTTTCTTCCATGAATTTAGCAAGCACTCTAAAGGTTAAGATCTTATTGTTTCTATATTTCTTCTTGATACCGTCATTTTTTTCTTTTCTTTTTTTAAATATTTATTTACTTGACACAGAGAGAGCACAAGCAGGGGGAGCGGCAGGCAGAGGGAGAAGCAGACTCCCCGCTGAGCAGGGAGCCTGATGCGGAACTCGATCCCAGGACCCTGGGATCATGACCTGAGCTGAAGGCAGACGCTTAACCGACTGAGCCACCCAAGTGCCCGATTTTTCTCCTTTTATAGAAAGATGTTAGATGCAAAGTACCCTAAAATAACTCTACTGTGGAGCAGCTAACCGAATAGTATTTTCTAAATAGTTAAAATGGGAATAATAATAAAATAAAGAAGTTTTAGATCTTCCGTATTGTACTCAATGAATCATTTACCCAAAAAGAACAAAATTTGAGATTTCCAAATTTCTCCCCAAAGCAAAAGTTCTAAAACTCAGCAAAAAATATGGAGCATGAGACCAAGGCTTAAGAGATCTGAGTTTCATACAACACTAACCAGCAAGTCACTTAACTCTTTTAGGATTCAGTTATCTCATCTATAAAGTGATGAGCACTAAAGTATCTTTGAACTCTAAAAGTCCATCCTAAGCCATCTTATTTGCACACAGCAACTTTTAAAATTTATCCAAAATAAATTAAGCATTTTAACAATCTAATTCTCTGAAATATAGGCTGAAATGAAGAGGCCGCAAGGGAAAAGTTAGTTAAAATCAGAGTATTAATAAAAAGCAAGAAAAATAATATAGTTGACCCTTGAACAACACAGGTTTGAACTGCGTGGGTCTACTTATATGCCCAGGATTTTTACAGCACAGTGTTGTAAATGTATTTTCTTTTCCTTATGATTTTCTTAGTAATATTTTATTTTCTCTAGCTTTATTGTAAGAATGCAGCATATAATACATATAACACAAAATATGCGTTAATCGACTATGTTATAGGTAAGTCTTCTCGTCAAAAGTAGGCTATGAATAGTTAAGTTTTGGGTGAGTCAAAAGTCACACACGGATTTTAAACTACATGGAGGTCAGTGCGCATAATCCCCATGTTGTTTAAGGGCCAACTGTATATCTGTTTCTGAATAACAACAGAGAAAAAAACACTCACACTGTCAAAATGATGAATCTAGCAAAAACTAGATTTCAAAACTGGCATTTGCCTGACAGAATCTGTCTTTATTTTAATTTGCAGTTAAGCCCAATAGAGTTCCTACTAACACTTTGAATGCCACACAACACTGAGAAACTTTTCAAGTCTTGTCTGTATGTTCACATAGTTTTATACTTCAGATTTTCCTACTAGATTTGGGATAGAAATTTTTGTAATGTTTCCTTGAGACAAACTGAAAATGACTAAGGGGCAAACATACAATACTTTCCCAGTATTTTTTACAATACATAATTGAGAATCCTATGCTCACCCCCAAGATACTGTATTAAGGAATGACTTGGGAAATGAAAGGGACGTAAGAGAAAGTGAAAAAGAGATAGCTTCAAAATGCTATTTTCCTTTTGGCAAAAATACCAGCTTTAAAAACAAAACAAAACAAAAAAACACTGCAAAGCAGTTGATTCCATATGTTAAAAGTTTTATATTTTCTATATATTTACCTGTTAATATAAAGAACTACTTTTCAAAAACTATGATCATTTTAGTCTTCAGAAAGCTATAGTAAACAACTTGAAATAAACTTTTAATACAGTACTGCATACATCTGTTCTATGACTAAGCATACTTATATAATAGGAAACTATATTTCTGTAAGACATAAACACCCACAAATGAAATAAAGGTGAAAAATTAGTCTGGGCTACTCTTAACAAATATTTACATTTGTTTTTAAACTGCCTTCATAACTGAAACATGCATGCTTTCAGTGAAGGTCCTCTCCTCTCTCAGCATTCCTGACTTCAACCCACAGAAAGCACTTCTGCCAACACCTCTTCCCTTGAAAACATAGTGAGCTTCTTCTACCCCTCGTCTGCTCCTCCCTCCCAGTGGTCAGAGGATGACACTGACTGGACAATATGCCAGTGGCGAGTGACTGTGAGTCTGAAGTGGAAAATACACAAAATCCATTCTCCCTTTTCATTTGTGATCAAGTCAGAAGACACTGTTCCCCTTTCACCCCACTCTGTACTTTTTATTCCACTGAAGGCTCCATGTACAGGTAACCATTCACTCCCTTCTAGTCTGACAATTGGGTTATGTGTGGCGAGACAGTGAGGAAGTGGATGCTTAGTGACTTGGAAATTGCCCCACAGACTCAGCTCTTTTCCTAAGTAGAATTCAAGTTCTAAATTCAGGGGTGGGAGAATAGAAATACTAATTTTGTCAAACAATCCAAGCAATGCTCTGCAGGCCAGTTATTAGCAGAGAAGCCAGGTTTGGTGGGGTTTTGGCTACTTGTCCATCCAGAAATAAAGCAAATGATCCAAATTTCATATGCTGGTGATCCTTCTTCATATATTTACTATCAACCAAACTTCTAACAATTAAAAAAAATAGTGAAAATAAAACCAATTTGTAATGCCAAATTTTAAAAAATTACTGAAAGTATGTTCCAAAATCCTTTCCCATCTGTGCCATTTTTACTCATTTCCAGATTGTCTAATTCTAGTAAACAGCATAGCTTCATATTCAATTCTCATGCTGAGGTACTACAACGTGATCATTTAAATATCAGTATTTAAAGTACTCTTTTTGAAGATAATGAAGTCTAAAAAAACTCATGGACTGGATTTTAGCCTATGCTTTTTTTGTGCCCATGAACTGTTCATATTAATCTGATTTAATCACTTTAATATGGGATATTCATAAACAGTACACCTTAAAAGAATTTCTTTTTCCAAATATCTAACAACATACTAGATAATTATTCTTCAAATTCCAATAATTAATCTTCAAAGTCATCTTCCCTATTCTGTCAGCAATTTGGTCTTTGAGGCAAGCCTATAGTCCATGCACCTGGCAAAACAAGGGATCTTGGCTTTTGACTTGGAATCAAACCATTATTTGGATACTATGTGGATGTACTAAGAAAATAATTGTAAACAACTCCCAGTTAAGCATTTTTCTTGAACAATAAACTCCAATTTCTAGGTAGGTAACACTGACAATTTATTTCACATTTCCAAACGGTTTAAGCTATTAAGCAGTACTACAAAATGCTGGAAAACCAAAAATATAAAATAAGAAGCAACATGGAACACTGAGAAAATATGTTTAAACCACAATGTAATTTATTTTATCAGAACCTTTACAATTTACAATCAGCTGGGAAAAAGTTTTAACAAAGTGGGAAAGGACAAAGGAAAGAGAGAAAACAGTAGCCTTTGAGAGGAAGGGGAGAGGTCTGAAAATAATAGAAAGGGAAACTTGGGAGAAACAAACTTGATCACAGTTTTTCCGAGCATCAATCCCTACTTAAATGCAATTGGATTCAAGTTGTTTTTGAGTACTTCTGTCCATGTTTTATGGTTTTCCTGTCTTCTTCCTCACTCTCAGGCTCTCAACAGTTAATTCTTGCTGCTATGATTATGCCTGTCATTAGCAGCTGCCCCACTCCACTAGAAGGGGACTCTGTTAACGACAAGGAAACTAAAGAAAAAACTAAAAATTTAGTAGCACCATGTATATAATAGTCACTAGATTCTGAGAAACTATCATGAAAAAAGAAAATGAATTCCTGCCCATAAACTCTATGACACTAATTTTGATGATTCAAGACATTTTTTACTTTTTGTTTTTTTTGGCTATGTTCCAGATATTTGAGGTTATCCCATAAAAGTCCTCTGAACAGGTGATGGATAACTATATTCTAAAGTACTTAAAGTATGATACATTTTCCTCATAATTCCTATATATAGCAAGTCCTACCAAGTGCAAAGATGAACCTACTTACAATCTACCTCTAAATTCAAGGATTAATTAGTTCACGGATTTGTAGCAAAAGAACTTTTGTTTTGGTTCATTTCATTAAAAGGCACCAATTTTTAAAATTCATTTTCAGAATGCAGGGATGTAAGCCACCAAATGTTACCTTCTCAAGGAAGATTTTTCTACCTTCAAGTTCACAGAAAAATCATGAAATGAAAGTATTAGATGAACACAAATGGATTATAAAGCCACCTAAGACTAATGAAATTCACTACATAGTCCACAAAGACCAAGAAATTAATATCAAACTCAAATATCTTATCTTGCTAAGACTACTACACAATATATATTTTCCTAATTATATAGCTCAAGCTGCCACTTCTCTCACACCATTTTTTAATATATTCTACATCAAATAGAGATTTGATTTGATAATTTGGTAATCATTTAAAAATGACTCTAGTTAAAATAAAAATTAGAATCTAGAATTCAGAATCTCTTAAATACCAGGATTTAGCTTAAAACATTACCAGTCTTATTATTCTACTGTTTATACTTCATACCAAACATATCCTTCAAATAAGAACCTATATTTTCATATTTTAATAAAACATTCAAACAATTACACTAAACAGTGGGACATTTAATAATAAATTTAATAGTAAACTTCACTAGGTTACAGTGCTCATATGCATCAAGTGATGTTTTCCCAATCAGCTCAAAGAAGGAAAGGAATATAAAACTAGATTTTTAAGAATGTTAATAGCAATATTAATCTTCTTTCCTTAGTCATGAAACATTTATAACAAAGGTATGACTCAGCTAAAATACACAAGTACTCTTAAAATAAATGACCAATAATTGGGATGTAACTGAAAAGGAAAATAACTTGATTCATCTGAATAAAGCATTAAAGAGAAATTAAATAATTTGTTCATGACCCTAAAGACACATACATCCAAGTGTCCACTTTGTAATAAATGAATAGATAGCATTTTACTTAAGAAATACAAAGACTTTTTTTATTAGAAATGACTTAATAAATCCAAAACTGAAAGGGAAAACATCGTTTTTTAAAATAAGGCTCTCCTATTTAAGTGGTTAGTTTAGGTTTTTTGGCTGGTTTTTTTATACCTTTGAAAATTCTTCAGGTTCCTTTATATCTAGTGACCGTGTTGCAAATTCTAGTAGTTCTTCCGAGTTCTCCAAGGCATTATTACACTGACTGAGCTGACTCTAAAAAACAATAACAAATCTTTAAAATAAAATTTCCTATTTCCATGAGAACCTTAAATATATACTGTTATAATGAACTTACAATTTTAATAGCAAAAACTTAAAAAATATTTTAGGGAGCTATTAAAATAACATATTCACTAGTCATATATGTAACAAATTTTAACTGTCCTTTATATTGTATTTAACATCTTTCCATAATTTGTCCAAAATAGCTTAACTGCATACAGATACAGATACAGTCATCATTTAAAAACACAACACAAAATAAAGCAATTATAAATAGTTCAGGTCAAATTTACTTACAGATTTTTCTCAGTCAGGGCTGTCAGAAATCCATCAACAATTTTTTTTTTTTAACTATCAACAATTTAAATTAAAATATCAAAATAATCCATCTGCAGAAAACATCCTCTATAAATGAAGACTAGGTTTCTTGATGATATTTAACAATTTAAACTAAAGTTTATGAATCAAGTTACAGGTACATACAGTTGAGCACAATTTTAGTACTCCATTCATCATATTACTCAAGTAATACATACTACCATAAATGCTAATTTATAGTTTCCAAAATTGGATAACATAGGAATCACAAATGCAAGTGCCAAGATTTCAAAAAGAATAAAGAGGAACAAAAGATGGTAACTGTTACAGTGATGTGCCCTGTTAGAGTGATGTATTAATTTCATGTACCAGTCGTCTTTCTTATTCAGTTCTCTGTCACTCTATCATCTGTGGTCTAAAACTAAGCCCAGTCGTGCAAAAATATTGTTAGTGATACCTTTAAACAAAGAAACAGATCTATTTCTAAGTTTTTTAATGTACCCAAGGTTCTTCTTCAGAATGTTAGTATCTATTTACTACTACCTATTCCATATTCAAATCTACTTAGGTATCCCTTAAGATCAGCACTAAGGATAAACTATGGCTCATTTTATTGGTTTCTGAATGTGTTATATCTCTGGAAAAGGAGAATAATTTTGCCATATTTTGGGTTAAGATAGGTTTTCATGTATTATTCTAAGAACCTAACCACAATTTCCTAAAAATACTACTATTCCTAGTGTTCCTCTTATGAGTTCCAAAGAATAATTAACAAACCACCATTTGAAATATCCCAATTGTATAAGCTTTATGAAAAGTTTAAGCAAAATCACTGAGAACAAACTGGTAGCTACAAATGGTCTACACAGGATCACTAGGGGAGACTAAGTTAATGTAGTATATTAGAGTAAAAAATAACAAAAAAAATAAGCAATATATCTCAAGAAACTATTAAAGTGAAAGAATCCAATCTGAGGTCAAAGTTTAAGATAAAATATCTTATTCTAAGAAAATGCTATGGGCACACCTGGTGGCTCAGCTGGTTAAGCGTCTGCCTTTGGCTCAGGTCATGATCTCAGGATCCTGCGATCGGACCCCATATGGGGCTCCCTTGCTCAGCGGGGAGTCTGCTTCTCCCTCTCCCTCTGCCCCTCCCCCTGCAGGTACGCTCTCTCTCTCTCTCAAATAAAATCTTTAAAAAAAAAAAAAAAAAGAAAGAAAATGCTATGAATTTGCTTTCAAGTCAAGAGGAAAAGTTTAAAAAAAGGGTACAAAGGAATATAATTTAAAGACAGTAACTTGTCAGTTATTTAGAGTGATAAAATTTTAATGAAAACAACATGCTATCAAGTTTATGAACCCAAAAGAACAGAGATGTTCTACTGTCTCCAACTAAAGAAAGAAATGGCATTGGTAGCCAAGTTGTGATTCTTTTTAATAATTGGTTTTTAAACTATCCCAAAAAAGCTTTATGGTTTGAATTACCATTAGGCTGATACCATCCTAGCTATTCCTTTGAATCATAACACAACAATGAAGTTATGTTCACTAAGCTTGTATTTCAACAACTCAGTCTTACTTTGTAGCCTACTGTCATCTCAGTATCTCTTCATCTCCCCTAGATCACTATTCCTATGAAAAAAAAAATTGCCAAAATTTTGTGGCATTGAGAGGCAAGTATTAAGAGTTATAAAGGATAATTGGATGTACAATAAAAAAAAAGGAAAAAAAGAAAACAATGGAATCACTGGAAAACACGAAGATCTCAAGTGATGATACAGGAAGTGAAAATGGTCCTAACATCTTTGCAGTCACCACTTCCAAACAGTATCATCTCACACCCATTAAGATGGCTACTACCAAAAAATTTAAAAATATGGATGAATGGGTGATGGTGGTCAAGAGGTACAAATTTCCAGTTATAAAATAAGTCCTAGGGATGTAATATACAGCATGGTGAAAAGAATTAATAATATACTGTATATATTTTTTAAAGTAAGCTCTAGGCCCATTGTGGGGCTTGAGCTCAAGACCCCAAGTTCAAGAATTGAATGCTCTACCAACTGAGCCAGCCAGGTGCCCCTACTGTACTGTATATTTAAACATTGCTAAGAAAGTAGAACTTAACTTATCAAACTTCACACCCAAGATACAAATGATGGTCAAGAAATGGGCAGAAGACATGAACAGACATTTCTCCAAAGAAGACATACAAATGGCCGACAGACATATGAAAAAATGCTCAACACCACTCAGCATCAGGGAAATGCAAATCAAAACCACAATGAGATACCACCTCACACCACTCAGAATGGCTAAAACTAACAACTCAGCAAACAACAGATGTTGGCAAAGATGTGGAGAAAGGGGAACCCTCTTACGCTGTTGGTGGGAATGCAAACTGGTGCAGCCACTCTGGAAAACAGTATGGAGGTTCCTCAAAAAGTTAAAAATAGAACTACCCTATGACCCAGCAATTGCACTACTAGGTATTTATCCAAAGGGTACGAACACAGTAATTCGAAGGGGCCCGTGCACCCCAATGTTTATAGCATCAATGTCCACAACAGCCAAACTATGGAAAGAGCTCAAATGTCCATTGACAGATGAGTGGATAAAGAAGATGTGGAATATTACTCAGCCATCAAAAACAATGAAACCCTGCCATTTGCAATGATGTGGACGGAACTAGAGGGTATTATGCTGAGCGAAATAAGTCAGTCAGAGAAAGACAAATACCATATGATTTCACTCATATGTGGAATTTAAGAAACAAAACAGATGAACATAGGGGAAAGGAAGGAAAAATAAAATAAGATGAAAATTGAGAGGGAGGCAAACCATAAGGGACTCTTAACTATAGGAAACAAACTGAGAGTTGCTGAAGGGGAGGTGAGTGGGGGAAAGAGATAATCAGGTGATGGGCATTAAGGAGGGCACCTGATGTAACGAGCACTGGGTGTTATCTGCAACTGATGAATCACTAAATTCTACCTCTGAAACTGATGAAAAAAATATATGACATACATTTAAAGCAATGATTTGTGAACAGTCTCAGAAAAAAAGAGTAGATCTTAAAAGTTCTCATCACAAAAAAAAAAAAGTTCTCATCACAAGAAAAAAACGTATAACTGTGTGGTGATGGATGTCAACTAGACTTACTCTGGTGGTCATTTTGCACTATGTATAAAAACTAAAATACTACATTGTACATCTAAAACTAACATAATGTTATAGGTCACATCTCAGTTTATTTTTTTTTAAGATTTTATTTATTTATTTGAGAGAGAATGAAAGCGAGAGAGATCACAGGAGGGAGAGGGAAAAGCAGACTCACCGCTGAGCAGAGAGACTGACGCGGAGCTCAATCCCAGGACCCTGAGACCCTGACCTGAGCCGTAATACTGAATAATTTTACTTATATGAGGTATTTGGAATTATTAAAATCATGGAAACACACTGGTGTTTGCCAGGTGTGGGGTAAGGGGCAAACAGGAAGTTGTTGTTCAATGGGTATAGAGTTTCAGTTTTAAAAGATAAAAAGTGCTAGAGATCTGTTACACAACAATGTCAACAGAGTTAACACTACTGAACTGTACATTTAAAAATGGTTATAAGGGTAAATCTTGGGTTTTTATCACAATTAAGAAAAAAACAAGATATCTATAACCAAAACAAAGTTAATAATCATTTTTCTAGAAGATAAAAGTAGTTATTCATAGAAATTCACTGATTTTTGCTGTCAATAAATCAAGTATTAGACTAAAATTATTCATATTTAAATATGTTAAGTGATCTCACCTGTAACTCTTGTGACTTACGAGCTTGTTCCTGCTTGATACTATTAATCATACTTTCTTTCACCTCATCCAAAATAGAATATAAACTATCAAATTCTTCATCTAACTCCGAAAGTATGTTAGAAGAATTTTCCTGTTTAATAAACAAAACAATGATTTTACTGAAGCTGTCAAACACTGGAAAACTAAAAGATACGCTTAGCAAAGGAGAAAACAGATTCACAGTATAAACTACCTCAGGCTAAAATCATATAAACAACAAAATTCTAGTATGTGACATAGGCTTTAAAAATAAGTAAACCCTAGAAGCTGGCTGCTAATGCTGACAGCACTCTCGCAGTTATGTTGTGAGTTAAGCAGCTTTTTATGGACTAGACCATATTCTTTTCACCTTTTAGAACACTGTTTCCACAAGACAACGTGAAAGGTTGTTTTAAGGATGCCAACTTGTCCAGACCTTCAGGTTCCAAGGCAGACCAGACCCTAAGCCAGTGGTTCGTGACCCTTGTCGTGCATCAGAATCATCGATGGTGCATTCTAATAAAAATATTCGAGATTTTGATTTCATAACTAAAGAATAGTGTGCACATACAGGGACGGGGCTAATTTTGTGAACTCTTAAAATCTTTCAGGTTGTCTAAACCAGTGCATTTACTTAAGATATACAGAACTTAAAAGACCAAGCAATTCCTTACTGGATGTAAGAGATTTATCAAACACTGAATTTTAGTGCTCGAAAGAACTCAGAAGTCATCTACTGACTAGAATTTGTAGTCAAACTCCTAAATTTTAGGAGTTAAAATACAGAAAGGTGACTTGCCCAAAGCCACACAACTAGTTACCGGAGGTAGAATCAATAAAGCATTTCAAGCCTGCTGACTTCCCAGAGTTCCTCACTGCCTCAATTAAGCAAGATGCTGGTATTTCAACAATAACTTAAAATATGTGTGAAATCTCTAGATGAGCAATATCCCACACTTGCAGCAATTATGACACAGAAGAAATTATGTTAGGCATTTTTCAATTTTTTTTTAAATTTTTTTTTAAAGATTTTATTTATTTGTTTATTTGACAGAGAGAGACACAGCGAGAGAGGGAACACGAGCAGGGGGTAGTGGGAGAGGGAGAAGCAGGCTTCCTACTGAGCAGAAAGCCCGATGTGGGGCTCGATCCCAGGACCCTGGGATCACGACCCGAGCCAAAGGCAGACACTTAACGACTGAGCCACCCAGGTGCCCCAGGCATTTTTCAATTTAGATGAATCATTCAATTCAGAGAATTGGCACTGGTTAAGAGAACTAATACGTAGCATCTACTGTAATAACATAAACCAATCTTTTGCTTATAATTTTTCTTTAAACATTTTATTTATTTATTTGACAGAGAGAGATACAGCGAGAGAGGGAACACAAGCAGGGGACTGGGAGAGGGAGAAGCAGACTCTCCAGAAGAGTAGGGAGCCCAATGTGGGGCTCGATCCCAAGACCCTGGGATCATGACCTGAGCCAAAGGCAGAAGCTTAACGACTGAGCCACCCAGGTGCCCCTTTTGCTTATTAATTTTTATAAAAGCCAGACATCACCTCACCGGAGTCTTACCAAAAGTGGTGTTAATCATTTTACTAATTGACTTACAGTGATAAAGAACAAGCTGTGGCAAAAGAAATGTGCAGTCTGGTAGGCAAAGGACCTACGTCAAATCTCGCATTAACCACTTAGTAACAGTGTGACCTCGGACAAACAACTTAAATTCCTGGACCTCAGCTTACTCATCAGTAAAAAGAGAATGGACTACTCAAACCAATGGGCACATCCTTACAGTCTCTTGCCTACTACCTCTTATGCTCCCATCTCCAGGGACAAGAATGTAGCTAAATTCCCCCTCTATTTTTTTTCTGGATTCTAAGGTAGAATACTAATAATTTACTAACCAGAAAAATAGTTTGGGCTAGCTCACAGTCTCTTTTTCCAGATGTCAAATGTGATGATTCTCTTATATATAGATCAAGAGCCTTAGGACAACGAGCTTTGCTTATTTAAAGACAGTAGATTCATAGATTCACCAAATTTTCCAGTAAAATAGTTTGGGAAAGACAGTTAAAGTGGTGAAGATCTTAATCAACTAACTTCAATTACAACAAATTCAGAAGTAAAGGAAATACAAGGACCATAAGGTTTAACAGGCCAAGACCCAGGCAATAACCTAGATTCAAACAAAAACCATAGAAAAGGATTTACTGTCAACAAGTGTCCTATAAATCTTGTTTACTTCACCAAAAAATGACCATTAAATTCACTAAGGCATATTCATCAACATTTGATTATATACAGTATGGATTATCTCCCCAAACCTGGGACCATTTCCTTAAGTATTCCTCTTTCTCATTAGGCACTTTTTTACTTTTATTTTTTACTTTCTTCCAGTTCTATAAGTAGACCTCTTACCATCCACATTTTCCTTCCACTATTTATTGTAAAAGAAATGGTTAACTTCCCAGTACTCCGAAAAAATATAATTTGTTCTTAATTGGAATTACAAAAGACAAATCTACAATGGAAAGGGTCAAAAGTGAGCACTATAATATTCCCTACCAACTACTATTGCAGTCTTCTTCTTTCCTTACTATTTGACCTTTCCACTGACAGTACAGAAATAGTAAGGAAAACATTTTTATTTATCTACCATTTAAAAACCTTACTCTTGAGGCGGGCGCCTGGATGGCTGAGTTGGTTAAGTGTCTGCCTTCAGCTCAGATCATGATCCCAGGGTCCTGGGATCGAGCCCCACATCAGACTCCCTTCTCAGCCAGAAGTCTGCTTCTCCCTCTCCCTCTGTCCTTCCCCTCCACTTGTGCGTGCACACTCTCTCTCTCTCTCTCAAATAAATAAAATCTTAAAAAAAAAAAAGCACATGCATTTAAATAAATAAAAGAAAAACCTTACTCTCACCTCCTTTAATTTATAATCTAGAGTTAATGTAGTATATTTATACTTCTGATTTGGCCCAACAATCATTCACTGTGACATATTACACAAACATTTTTAAAAAGATTAATACCTGAACTCCTTTTAGTGTTTGGTTTAGTGTATCAATAAAGTTCTGAATTTCATCATTTTTATTTGCCAGGGTTGAAATGATCCTTTGTAGAGCTTCCTAGGATTAAAACAAGAAAGACACTTAGCATTATGATATTTTAATAAGAGAGTTATAAACGTAACAATTCTCTAAACAAACCATGCAAGAGGAGAAATGTAAAGTTTCTCATTGTTAAATTTCCAAAGGCCTATAATTACAAAAGATGGGATATGTATTTGTGCTGCTTTACAACCTCTTATTTCTAGGGTACATTTTAATCACCACCATACCGTTCATACTGAAGATGATCAATATTATTTAATACTAATAGTATTATTTTAGGTCACAGGGCCAGGGCCAAGGAATAAAACCAAATCCTTAAATGTTGCAAAAACAAATGGAACTTTCTAATATGATATTAGGCTACAAGGAAGAAAAACAAAGAGGCAGTAAAAGTTGACATTTTATTTATTTATAAAAATAAAAAACACTTTAGAAATATGAAAGTAGATAAATTTGTAGCTAAAATTATAATATTCATTGCAATATTTACAGATGCTGTAAACCCATAAATAAGTTAAGTAATTTTTGTAGCAAATACCTCAGACTTTTTGATAGTGCTTCCTATTTAAATAAAACACTTGGTTATTTAATCTTCCCACACTCTCTAGCTCAGTGCTGTACAATAAAATTTTCTGCTATGATGGATATATCCTATATAGGCTGTCCAAAATGGTAGTCAATAGCTATATGAAGCTAACGAGCTCTTGAAATGTAGACAGAACTGAGGAACTCAGTTTATTGTTTTTAACTTTAATTATTTTCACTTTTTATAGCCACATGTGACAAGTACTGTCATATTGGACAGCACAGGTCTAGTTGTTCAGTAACTCTTCATGGGTAGTAATAGCAAAATCCATACAAGGTACTTGTACTCTCAGTAAAAATCAAATGCAAGTACTTGTACTTTATAATTTTCCCAGAAGCACAAGCCTTGTTTCTGTAAGCACTTACAAATGTAAATAATTTAATAATAAATAATGTTTAATAAACATTATTAAATCACTTTGTGATAAAGGTTCTCCTCAAAATATAATCAGACATTGATAAAGAGCTATATATAAAGAGCTCAGGAAATAAACTGATAAAGGGATAATATTTTAATAAATGTTCATAAGGCCTTATAGTAGTAAAAAATTAAAAATAATCACAACAGTTCTCATTTCTCACAAGAATCCCTGGAGATAAGCAGGTATTATCATCATCCCTGAGGCTGCCTAGGGCTCTCTGCTGTATTCACTTCCCTATACTATTTCTTCCCATCCTCACCACTGGTGGTATTTTAGTATAATAATACAATGAAATTATGCTATGAAAGAAGATTAACACCAAGAGTTAGCTGTTTATCCTGTTGGTGTTCCTCCCAGAAACAGGTGCACCAAGATTTGAATACAAAGACAACCAGCAGAGGGGCAGAATGAAGCTGGGACTTGGGGCAGGAGTGGGCATAGTTGTAGGGGCAAGAATGGTAGTACAGAGATGTAGAAAAGGAGGGCAGTGGACTTAGTCTTCCAGTTATTCATCCAAGGTTGGTTCTATATCTATTTAAAAACACAAAAGAAGAGTAAAAATGGTTCTGCACAATCACTGGACTGTGTAGAGTAACCTTCAATTAAGACTGGGCTCTCTCAGTTGAGCGTTTGGCTCTAGATTTCAGCTCAGGTCATGATCTTGGGGTCATGAAATCGAGCCCCGGGTTGGGCTCAGCAGGAGTCGCCTTGGGATTCTCTCTCCCCCTCTCCCTCTGCCCCCTGACTCTTGGCTCTCATTTCCTGCTCTCTCTCTCTAAAATAAATAAAGAAATCTTTATAAAGAAAAAAAGAGACTAGGCTCTTTTTGGTAAATGGACTATAGCTGTCTCCCTTTTTATCGCTCCTAATGGTAGGGGTCCACATCCATATGGTACAGATGGGAAAATGGTAGCAAATGCTAGGAAGTTAAAAATTATGCTCTGTCTCCAAAATCCATGCAGTTTACCTCTTTAGAATACTGTCTCTAAGTCTAACCAATTTGCCCATCATAAGAAATATCAATACAATAAATTATAGATTCTTTTAAAATTTTTGTTTGCTAAGACTCTTCATGACATAAAACTGTTAGAATTTCCGTAATAGAGAATCATTGCTTGAGGTTAAGCTCTGTCCAGTGCTAAGCATACTCGTGAACTTCAAAGTAAAAATGAAAAGTCTTCTAGGAGAAATTTTATCCCATGAAAAGGAGGAGTTAGGCCCAATGAAGTCAACTCAGTAACTAAATTTCAATCACCAGGATATATGTGAGTTCAACAAACACTGAAGGAAATTTCACAAAAAAACTATGAAGCATTGGTATATAAAAAAGGCAGAACTAGTTCAGAGCCAAAACAAAACAAACAAACAAATCCAAAAAACCTCTCTAGTACAAAACAGCTTTCCACTTTTATTTTTTGTCTAAATTTAGTAACAAACTCTGTATTTCGGGAATTCTGCAGCAAAAATTCTTTGGAGATAGCTAAAGCCTATTTGTCTCAGCTAGGTAACCTCTAAGCTCCAAACATTTTAATGAGAAGCCTCCTACCATTTTAAAGCTCCCAGCTATTTACTGGGTATAGTCAAAAACATCTAAATGCTTTAATTTTTATTAAAGTTTTCAAGCTAAATCCTTTATACTCTTAAGAGTTACCTACTTACTGGGGCGCCCGGGTGCCTTAATTGGTTAAGCGTCTGCCTTCAGCTCAGGTCATGATCCCAGGGGCCTGGGATCGAGTCCCGAGTCAGGTTCCCTGCTCTGCAGGGAGTCTGCTTCTCCCTCTACCCCTCCCCCCACTTGTTTTCTCTCTCTCTCTCTCTCTCTCCCTCTCAAATAAATAAATCTTAAAAAAAAAAAAGTTACCCACCTACTGAAGGTTATTAGACTCTGTTCTCACAGTAATGTTAGAGGGAAGAATACAGCCTTTACCAATTGCAACATTCAACAGAAATATAGTGAGGGCCAAATAGTAGCCACATCAAAAAAGTAAAACTTAAGTGAAGTTAATTTTAATATTTTACTTAACCCAACTGATCCAAAATATTATTTCAACATGTAATCAAAATTTAACAATTACCAAATTCCTTCTTTCCTTCCTTTTTGGTACTAGGTCTTCACAATTTGATGTGTATTTTACACTTACAGCACATCTCAATTCAAATGAGTCACATTTCCAGTGCTCAATAACCAAATGGGGCTCAAAGCTACCATACTGGACATAGCTTTAGAGGCCTAAACCATCCAAATAGTCCATATGTTTCTAGGACTGGGACAGGGAGGGCAAAGAGCCTATATAGATCTGCTTAATTTGCAGTTAATAATAAACAAAAGCTTTCTGAATTTTTTCTTGGAATACCAGAATTTCTATATATGTTTACCATATGCCAGATTCCTGAATTATAATAGCTGTATGTGAATATAAGCTAAAATGTTACAACCAAATTCCTTTATCAGAATTTCACTAATTTCTCAGTTTTTATTTATGTAAATATTACCTTTAGAAATGGAAAAGTAATATAATATTACCACCTCTCAAAAACAAACACACACACACACAAACAAACAAACAAACCAAGGCATAAGCAGCTCTCCTTTCAGGATCCCTCTAATACCATAACAAGAGAAAGCTACTCTTCTCTCCTGTAAAACTTATACTGCTCATTGGTTTTGGTTGGAAAAAACTTAAAAGTCCATGTCAAGGTTGGTATCTGACAAAAACAAAGCTGCACCTGAAGACAGCTGACATATAAGTTATACAAACTTAATCATCAGGATCCTCCGTGTATGGTACTGCCCCATACCTCCAAGATATAATACCCTGAGATTACAGTTAATCTTATGGTTAAAGACTATTAAAAAAAAAAAATCTAATGGTAAAGACTACTCCCCTTTCATTCATTCAAAATTCTGCTACCACCAGAAAATGAAAAATGACCTTTCTCAATTTGTACTGGCCCATGAAGTGTTACTGGCAATATTTCTGGAAAGAAACCCTATGATCTGTGTGTTAAAGCTTTTGGGGTAATGGTATTCTATATGAATTACCTAAGGCTTTAAAAATACCATGCTCCCCCAGAAAGTGGTGGGGAAGGAAAGGTCTTTAAAGGCTGATATACTATTTCAGGGAAACATCATCTCATTCTTTGAAGAGAAAACGCTTTATGGCTCACATTTTGCACTTCACTGGGAGTTCTAGTACAGAATGAGGGTCTACCACAGAACACCTAAATAAAGGGCCCACATCCTGAGAAAAACAGCTTACCTTACTGCCAAAGTAACAAAGACTGAAGTCTGAGATTCTCAGGGTGGGGTGTTACTCCAATCTCTAGGTAAGGAGAGCTTTGGAGCCTTGCTGTAATATACACCACTGAGATGCTCTACAAATGGACAAGCCAGCTGTAGAGGGCTTTGGAGCCTCAGCATTTAAGGTCACCTGTATTTTAACAGCTACCAAATGTATTAGAAAACATGACTGCAGTGGGGCACCTGGGTGGCTCAGTCAGTTAAGCGTCTGCCTCCGGCTCAGGTAGTGATCTCGCTCAGCAGGGAGTCTGCTTCTCCCTCTCCCTCTGCCCTCCCTGCCCCATGCTCCCTCTCTCACGTGCTCTCTCAGATAAATAAAATTTTTTTAAAAAATAAAAGAAAACATGGCTGCAGAAGAAACGATCATCCAGATGACTAAGAGTCAGAACCCAAAGCAACCAATGTGACCTTGGTAGCAAATACAGATGAAGTGCTGCCTCTACCCTAAGCTTTTCTAAGAAGAAAGGAAGGTATCCTGAAAGTTCTGCAAGGATAGACTGCTGAAGGGCTCCAGAAGCTCTGAAGCCACTTGCCCTTTAATCTGGTGAGAATGATCAATTGCAAAAGACTATAATTAAGAACTCATATTTACTATTCTCCTATAGTGGAAGTTCATCAGGAAGGGATGAGAAATAAATTATCTAGGGGACCAGGGCTTCAACCATTCTGGTCCTCATAAGAACAGGGACTGGCTAGACTAAGGGTGA